CGCCGTGGGAGGGAGGCCCGGGGGGCTTGTGGCGGGGCTGCGCTGGGGAGGCGGGCGGGGAGGGCGGCCCCGCCTGACGCGGTGTGTCCCCAGGACAGCGCCATGGCCTCCCGCGGCGGTCCCCGCGCCCCCGGCACCGACGGCAGCGACTTCCAGCACCGGGAGCGCGTGGCCTCGCACTACCAGATGAGGTAGGTGTCCCCTCTCCCGGGATCCCGGGGGGACACGCGACCCCAGCAGGCCCTGATGGCCCCGCACTCTCTCCTCCAGCGTGACGCTCAAGTCGGAGATCAAGAAGCTGATCTACACGCATGTGGTCATCTGGCTGCTGCTCCTGGCCCAGATGGTCGTGGGGCACCTCAAGCTGCTGCCCCACGACCAGGTGGCCATGCCCTATCAGTGGGAGTATCCCTACCTGCTCAGCATCCTGCCCTCCCTGCTGGGCCTCCTGTCCTTCCCCCGCAACAACATCAGCTACCTGGTACTCTCCATGATCAGCACCGGCCTCTTCTCCATAGCTCCCCTCATCTACGGGGCCATGGAGATGTTCCCCATGGCACAGCAGCTGTACCGCCACGGCAAAGCTTACCGCTTCATCTTCGGCTTCTCGGCCGTCTCTGTCATGTACCTGGTGGTGGTGGTGGCCGCGCAGGTGCATGGCTGGCAACTCTACTACAGCAAGAAGCTGCTGGACTCCTGGTTCACTAGCACGCAGGAGAAGAAGAAGAAATGAGTGGGGATAGGTGGGCTCCGTGAGGTGCTGAAGCTCTGCAGTTCAGTCCTGTGGGGCAGCGCTGGCGCAGCTCCGGTGGGTGGGGGATCCCCGGGGACCACGGGTGGGTGTCTGAGGCACACCACGGCCCCGCGCTCGCATGCACGGGGGAGACCCCCGAGGGCCGGGGCCGTGGAGGGTCCCTGGGGTGCGCGCCCCGTCCTCCGCGCGTTGCTCTATGGAAATAAAGCACCGTCCGCTCTCCCACGCGTGTCTGCGCCGCAGGAAGCGCCGCCCGGCGGGGTGGGGGGGCCGGCGGGACCGCACGTGCCGGTGCAGGAATGCGGCGGGGCCGGCCCGGGGCGGGGCGGGGAGCGGCGGCGCTCGGCCATGGGGCGCCCGGAGCTGCTCGCCGCTGCCGCCGCGCTGCTGCCGCTGCTGCTGCTGCCGTCCGGGACCGGGGCCGCCGTGACCCGCCTGCGGGTCTCCGCCAACTTCGTGAGCGCCGGGGAAGGGAGGTGGGGGGGAAGGTGGGGGCAGGCGGCGCCGCGCTCACCCCGTCTCTTTGCTTGCAGGAGTGCCGGGCCACCGGTGAGTAGCGGCGGGGCAGGGCTGTCAGCGCGGGGCTGCTCCTGCCCGCCCATACCGGCTCGGGGTGCGGCGGGACGGTGGGGCTTCCCCTGCCCGCGGCTACTGGGTCCGGGAGGATGGGAGGGCGAGGGTGGGGCGCTCCAGGTTTCCGGGGCACCGGGCTCCCCTCTTCCGAAGCCTCCCGATCCCCGAAACTTCCTGGCTCCTGGGGCTCCCCGCTTCCAAAGCCTCCGGATCTCCGGGGCTCCCTGTTTCCCAGCACTCTCGACCCCCAAAGATTCCCGCTTCCGAGGACTCCGAATCACCGAGGCTCCCGGTTTGTCAGGACTCTCGATCCCCGGGGCACCTCCCTTCCGACTACACCTCCCCGGCACTCCCCGGGGCTCTCCCCCTTTCCAAGCCCTCCCAGCGCCCGGGGCTCCTGCTGCCCGCGGGACCCCCGGCGCACGGCCGCCCCCCGTCTGCTCTCCCCCTGCAGCCGACAGGACGCTGAGCCGCCCCCGCTGCCGCCGCCCTCCCCGCCCCGAGCCGCCGCTGGAGCCGCCCGCGCTGTCGCTGAGCCGTGCCCGGCTGTGCCTGCCCGCGCAGCCCTGCCAGCCCTGCCTGCGGGTGCGCCTGGCCCTCCCCGCCTCAGGTACGGCCGGGGGTGGCATCCCCTGGCAGGGGACACACAGCCAGTGCCCCCACCCATGTCAGCACCCCACGCCGGTTTCTCGCAGAGCTCGGCGGTGTCCGGGGACTGCACCTCGCCTTCCGGGAGCTGGGCTCCAACCGAGCTGGCTGGCTGCAGGTGTGGCAGCGACGCCGGGTGTCGGGCAGCTCCGCGGTGAGTCTGCGGGGCGGTGCAGCGGGGCACACCGAGGCCCGGACCCCGCACTGAGCCCCTGCTCCCCGCAGTGGCAGGTGCAGTTCGACTGCTTCCCGGCAGAGAGCGGGCGGCAAGTCCTCGTCTCCCTTCGCACCATCCCAGATCGGGGCTTGGCCCTAAGCTGCAGCCATACGGTCATCGCTGAGCCACCCGGTGAGACTGAAGGGCTTGGGAGGTGTCCCGGGGGGACGCCGGTTCCAGCTGACCCGCTGGCTGCTCTGCAGGGCCTGTCTTTAGCCATGCTTGGCTCCCTGAGCTGCGGGCCATTGATGTGCGGGTGCCCGCGGGTCCCCCCCTCATGGTGCGGCTGTGCCACCAGCTGGCCCTGGAGTGTGAGGAGCTGCCCCGGCCCTTCCACCAGCAGGTAACGGCTCTGCCCCCCGACACCCCCGTCCCAGACTGGGGGACACAGTCCCTGCCAGCTGATGCTCCCTCCGTGTTGCAGGTGCTGGTGCCCGGAGGCCACCACATCTCACTGCCGTATGAGTTCCTGGTGCCCTGCCTGTGCATTGAGGTGAGTTGCCCTCCCCTACAGCCATCAGAGCCCCTTTGCCCTCCCATGAGGAGGAAGAGGGGGCATATCCTGCTCTGACCATCATGTTCTGCTGCCCCAGGCCTCCTACTCCCACCACGACAGCCCACGGAGCAAACACTGCCCCTTCCGTGACCGGCCAGATGCCTGTGAGTGCCTGGTGCCTGTGGGGAGGGGAGCTGAGTCCCAGGGGTGTCCCTGGGTGTCTCCCCACCCCACTGATGTGGCGCCCCACAGATGGCCCCGAGCTGTGGTCCTCGGTGCACTTCCACGACTTCAGCACCAGCAGCAAGGACCAGATGGCAATGCTGCTGAGTGCCAGCTGCCCCCTGCACCCACGGGCCACCCTCTGCTGGAGGGAGGCAGCAGATGAGGCTGCACCCTGTCACGACATCCCCAATTCCACAGCCAGTGAGGACGAGCAGGTGAGGGCTCCTGACCTTGAGATGTCACAGGATGTGGGACCATGTCACTCGCTGGGGCATCCACTGGATCTCAGGGTCCCTGTAGGGCAGTGGGTGGGCACTGTGGCTGTGTGGGTCAGAGATGGTAACTGTGACACACTCTCCATTTGTTCCAGGTGTACGTACTGGACAAGGTGGACGTGCACCCCCAGCTCTGCTTCCGAGTAAGCCCCTGTGGGTGGGTGGGCACCATCTCAGAAGGGGCTGGGGGCTGTGGTGGGTGAGGGCAGCTCACCCTGCCCTTTGCTGATCTCACCTCCTTCAGTTCTCCTACAAGAACAGCAGCCATGTGGAGTGTCCCCACCAGTCAGGTGAGTCCTATGAGCGGGAGGCAGCCCTAGGCTAAGCCCTGCCCTGCTCTGGGGTCCCTTGCACCCCTCACCCTGTCGGGCATCCTGCAACCTCCCCTCTCTCTCTGGTGGCCGCAGAGACTGCCTGGAATGTCTCAGTGAGTGTCTGGGGGCTCCAGCTGCACCTGCACCTCACCTCCCGCATCCCTGCAGCCTTCAGTGCAGCCCTGTGCCAGCGCCGGGGTGGGCAGTGTGAACCCGAGGCCCCGCTCTACACTGTCACACAGGTGAGTGCTGCAGAGCTGGGGGGACGTGGTGGGGACAGACCCGCACTGAGCCTGCTCTTGTGCTTTGCAGCCAGAGGGCTCTGCTCCAGGGGAGTTGGCGCTGCTGCTGCCAGTGCAGGTCCTGGGCAGCTGCGTGCTGGTAAGGCGACCCTTGTGTAGGCATCTCTGCTGTGGGGGACCCAACATGGTCCCCCTCTCACCCAGCCCCTTCCCCAGGTGTGGCGCTCGGACGTGCATTTTGCTCGGAAGCAGCTGCTCTGTCCCGATGGTGAGAGGGGGTCCTGGAGGGGACTCAGGGGGCAGTGGAAATGGGCAGACAGCCCCTTACTGCCCCTCTCCCAGTCTCCCGCAGGCACTTCGGGCTGCTGGGGCTGGTGCTGGCACTGGGACTGGTGGTGACTGTGCTGCTCCTCAACTGCCGTGGTGCCTGGAGGCCAAACGATGGTAAGGAGCACCCAAGGGGGCTGCAGGAGAGACGGCAGGAGGGGCTGGAGTGCCAGGGGATGCCAGTTCCCAGGCTGCAGGGGGTCCCAGGGTGGTGGATGGCAGATGCTGTTGGATCCCAGGGGATGCCAGTAGGACATGGAGCTGAGCTGTCACTGCTGTCCCCTCCACCCCGCAGGTGTCCCTGGCAGGCGCCCCGTGCTGCTGCTGTACTCGCCCGACTCCGAGGAGCACCTGGGGCTGGTGTGTGCCCTGGCCGAGCGGCTGCGCACGGGGCTGGGCTGTGACGTGCGCCTGGACCTGTGGGAAGCGGGCGGCCTGGGCCAGGCGGGCGCCCTGCCCTGGCTCTACGCCCAGCGGGGCCGCGTGGGCCGCCAGCGCGGCACTGTCCTGCTCCTCTGGAGCCGGGGCAGCGCCCGGCTCTTCCGTCGGTGGCAGGTCGGGATGGCCGACGGCACGCCCGGGGATGCCCATGACATTTTTGGGGCAGCCATGGCCTGCCTGCACGGGGAGCTGGGGGCGGCGGGCCGTGGCAGCGGGTGGGTCCTGGCGTACTTCAGCCGGCTCTGCAGCCCCCGCGATGTCCCCCGACCCCTTCGGCCCCTGCCCACCTACCGCCTGCCCCGACAGCTGCCCGGGCTGCTGGGGGCGCTGCGGGGCAGCCCCCCGGCCCCTCGGCACTGCCGCTGGGGCAGGGCTGGGGCCCTCCTGCACCGCCTGCTGGACGTGGGGCCCAGGGAGGGCAGTTCCCCGCCCCGGCCCCCCGGGGCAGCTTCTGGCACCTGAGTGCCCAGGCTGGGCCTGAGCTGGGCATGGCCGCAAGGGGTGCAGGGCGTGGTGCAGCCCTCCGGTGAGGGCAGGGCTTCTGCCAGGAAAAGGCAGGGCTCAGGTGAGCGTGTGCCCACTGCAGCGGCAGGAGGGGCACCCATGGTTGCCCCGGGAAGGGCTGCAGGGGTTCGAGCAGGACTGGCCTCAGTCATGGAGTGTGCTGCTGGGGCTGGAGTGAGCATCCAGCTGGCATCTCTGGCCAGGAGCGGAGATGCTGTCCCGAGCAGGGGCAGCTTTATTCCCACACAGGGACCCGCTCCAGAGGAGAGCCCATAGAAGCACCTTTGGACGGCACAGCCAAGTGAGGAGTTGGGGTGGTGCAGGAAGAAACTGAGAGATGGAGGCTCCCTGCCCTGCCCACGCACAGGTGGCTGGAGGGGCGGGTGCTGGGCACAGCCCGGCCCTGCTCTTTGCCTCGACATCGCCAGCAGGACTTGGTCTGGGGTGGAAGCAATAAAGGCGTCATTTCACCCTGCCCTGTTGTCTCTGTGGTGTCCCGGGGGAGATTCTTTGGTGCCCTGGAGGACCGGGGGCTGCCCAGTGCTCTCTGCAGCACGGCGGGGCAAGAGGACGCACCCGCTTGGGCACAGCCTGTACCGGCACGGCTGCCACACCGTGTCCCACAGCCGCGGCGGCTGCCTGAGGCCAGCCTGGCACCGTGCCCGTGCCATGGAGCCAGCTCGACCCTGTGGGGCCCCAAGCCCTCCGCAGGGGTGGCGGGACACGGAGCCCTCCGCGGCCGGTGCGGGAGCAGCAGGCCCCACCCAGGGCGGCTGCTGACGCCACGCAGGGAGCCGGGTGTCCGGGATCGGAGCAGGAAGCGGGAGCCGCCGGCGGCGGTGGGGCCCGTGGAGTCGGGAGAGGGCTGCCGGGGAGCAGCCGGCGTGGGGCCGGGGCACCCCGAGGCCCCGGCCCCACCATGCACGCACTGGGGCAGCTCCTGCTGGTGCTGGTGGCGGGGTCGGCGGGTGGCCGTGGGGACCCCCGCGACACCCTGGCCTGCTCCCAGGTGGGTTGGTGTCCATAGCGCGCCGGCATCGGGCACCTGGCACCACCGCCGGCCTCACCCCTGCCTCCCCCAGGGCCTCACCTGCCGCCTCTTGGGTAAGTGCATCACCCTGCCATGGCCCCTACCCGACCCGGGGCATGGGGACTCCCCCCCACGCTGCCCTCTGTGTCCCCGCAGACACCGATGTGCTGTGCGGGACAGAGCCCCCGGGACCCCGGCAGGAGCTGGCCCTGGCCCGTCTGCGGCTGGAGCCGGCGCTGCGCTGCACCGAGCCCACGGCCTGTGCGCCCTGCCTGGAGGCACGGGTGCGCCTGGCCTTGGCACCGGCCACCGGCACCGCCGCCGAGTCCCCCCTCTCCGCGCAGCCGGGCACCGCTGGGTCAGAGGACAGCAGTGATGGGGGACAGCGGTCACCAGCGACTGGGGCCACCCCGTCCCAGCCCAACGTTACTGGGCTGCTGCTGCTCGCTGGGCACACGTTTGCCTCATCTCGCTGCGTGGCCGTGGAGGTCTGGGCACCCTTGGGGCCCGCACTGCGCGGCCGAACCGTGGTACGTAGATGTGGGGCACCGGGGTCAGTGTCCCCACACTGTCAGTCCCTGGGCATTTGGGATGTAGACGCTGGCATCAGCGCATCTCTGTGGCATGGGGGTCCTGTTCCTGTGCCCCAGGGAGGTGGGGTGGCAGCTGGCGGTGCCGGTGCCTCACCGCAGTGGGGTGGTGGTTTTCCTGCCCAGGGCTGGGTGATCTTCCGGTGCTTCGAGGCGCCGCTGGGCTCCGAACTGCACATCTCAGCATACATGAACTCACGGGGCCGGCAGAGGCTGAGCCAGCAGCAGCGGGTGCCAGGTAAGCCCCGGCAGGTCCCCTGCAGTGGCCCCAGCCCCTCTGCCCACTGATTCACTGTCCCCACAGACTGTTCGTGGCCCGCAGCACAGGATGCTGTCCCACAGTGCCAAGGTAGGTGCTGGCATCACCCCACCTCGGTTTGCATCCCCTGGGGAGAGCCGGGCAGTGGACACCAGGGGGGAGAGTGACCCTGGGGGTGCCGTGCCCCATGCCATGGTGCTGGGCAGACAGTGCCTGGAGCGGGGTGACCTGAGCTGCCTCTCACACAGTGCCCAGGCTGCGGGTCTCCCCGGGGCAGAAGGAGGTGGTTGTGGAGGTGGAGGGGGCAGCAGTAGGGCACAGCTACACACTCCGGCTCTACCACAACCATAGCCATGGCACCAGTGGGCCAGGGCGTGTGGTGACCATGGTGAGTATGCACCCCATTCCCTGACCCGCTACCTTGCCTGTTCTCTGGTTACTGCCCTCCTCCCCGTTCCCGAGAAGCCATGTCTGTGTTATAGGCAGTGTGCTGGGAGAGGGTCCCCTGGGAGCAGATCCCCCTGGGTGACCCTGCTGGTGGCCATTTGCCACGGGGTGACCCACATCTGGTTGCTGGTAGCAGAGCAGTCCCATGAGCTATGTCCTGCCCGCCGATGAGGTGCTGCCCTGCCTCTGCCTGCAGGTGGGCATCTGACCGGGCACTGTGGGGGTGGCAGGATAAGTGGCCTCTAAAGAGGGGCTCCAAGCTCCATGTCTCCCTCTGGCATCCCAAGGGGGCCGGCCAGATCACGGTCACAGCATGAATGCTTTTCTTGTCTTTTTCCCCATCCCCAGGTCTGGCCGGAAACCCAGGACCCACTGCGGGCCACCCTGTGCCCCTTCTCTCATGGTACCTTCACTCTGAGGCTGGGCTTTGGGGGGCTGGGACACAGAGGGGCTTGAGGGGACACCACAGGGAGTGACACTCCTGTCCTGGTGCCGCTGCAGATGCCGAGGCCTGGGAGCGACTGTGGGCGCGGAGCCGGCTGGTCCTGCACATCGAGGGGCACGTGCTGACCTGCTCCCTCTCAGCCCCCTGCGACCTCCTGGCCGAGCTGGTGCCCTGCTGGCAGCCAGTACCCTCCAGGCCCTGCCAACCCCTGCCTGGCCTGCAGCAGCCTGCCGGGGGGAAGGTGAGTGGGGTTCTGTGGGGCGCTGGGGGCTTTGGGAAGGATGCTGGTGACAGTTACAGAGCGTCCCTTGCACTCACAGGGACCCCAGGAGTTCGGAGGGCTGCGGCCACACCCCAACCTCTGCGTGCAGGTAGGACACTACTCTGCCCCACAGCTGCCCCATGGGCAGCCCCACATCAGCCCCAAGCACTGTTAATCCTCTCTCTGGGCAGGTGTGGAGTGGTGGGCAGGTCCGGCTGACCCAGTGCCTGCGGGACCGTGAGTGTTGCTGGGGTGGGAGGGTAGTGGCAGCCTGTGGGTGCAGCTGAGGGGTGGGACCCCTCCTTGGCCTCCCCTCACACCTACCCAGCCCTCTGGCACATTCCCAGGAGCGCTGCCCGGCCGCCCCGATGACCTCCTGCTGCTGCAGCGTGGGGGGAATGCCTCACTGTGTGCCATGGAGAGGGGTGCCTGCACACCCCTGGCCAGCTTCACCAGCAGGGTAAAAGAGGAAGAGACCCCCATGTCCTGGCAGCAGTGGTACTGGTGGCACAGGGACCCCTGTGTCCCTCAGTGGTGGCACTGCTGTCTGACGTGCTGTGTTGCTGCAGGGAGCAGGGCACCCTGGGCTGCTGGAGCAGGATCTGCAGCAGGATGTGGCAGGGGGGCAGTGCCAGCAGGTCAGTGTGAGTGGGCAGTGGGCTGTGGGCAGTGGGCAGGGACTGGGCAGTGTCTGACGTGTCCCTGTGTTCCCCACAGCTGTGGCACCCATTGAACAGAACTGGGGTTACACTCTGGGCCTGTCCCCTGCACAAGTGTGAGTGTTGACAGCCACGGTGGGGGAGAGGAGGGCTGAGGGAGGGCTGAGGGAGGGCTGAGGGAGGGAACCCCCCCTGTGGAGCCACTGGAGACCTTTGTTGGGTGCTGGGGGCCCTCGGTGGATGCAGATCCTGCCCTGCAGACCTGCGTACCCACTGGGCCCTGGTGTGGATGGGGGTGCTGCTGGGAGCTGCCTGTCTCCTGCTGCTGCTCTTGATGAAGAAGGAGGACATGAAAGGTGAGTGGTGCCCTTCTGGGGGCTGTGCCTGGCCTGGGACCCCTCCTGGGACCTCACTGCCTCTCCTCCCTGCAGGATGGCTGAAATCCCTGAGGGCTGGCTATGGCTCCAGTGGTGAGTGTGTGTTGAGTCTGAGGCCTCGGGGGGAGTGGGCAGTCTGTACCTATCCCAGAGGGGTCAGAGGACAGAGTGAGGGGGTCCCCCACCCAGATTAGTTCATGTTTGCCTGCCTGACAGGGTAGTTAGGGGTGTAGGGAAACGAGAAGAGGGAGAAGAGGGTGAGAACCCTATGGGGGGTGGGAGGGGGCAGATTGCAACCTGCTTCCCACCATGCCTGTCCCTTAGGGTAGGTAAAGGATTTGGCAAGGGGACTGGGGGACTCACATCAGTGGTGGTCTCAGCTGCTTCCCATCGTGGCTGTGCTTTAGCTTGGGTACAGGGGGTGCTGCAGGGCTCGGCTGACAGAGGCAGGGGACGATCTCCCCCACCGTGGGTGCCTCCCAGCATGGCTCCCACCACAGGCTGGGTACAGGGTGCCCAGAGGGATCCGGGCACTGATGATCTCCCTTCCAGGTCCGCTGCAGGGCCGGCGGGCCCTGCTGGTGCACGCAGCAGAGCCGGTGGCGGAGCGGGCAGCGTGTGCCTTGATGGCAGCTCTGCACTCCCTGGGGCTGGCGGTGGTGGCGGCGCCGGGAGGTGGCAGCGGGGTGGCAGCTCTGGGGCCGCTGCCCTGGCTGCACGCCCAGCACCACCGGGCGCTGCGTGACAGCGACACCATCATCCTCCTCCTCTCTCCGGCAGCCGTGGCTGCTGCACAGCAGTGGGACGCCGGGGCCAGGGTTGTGCCGGAGTCCGGGGCCGCTGAAAGCAGCCTCGGGCCCCGGCACAGCCCTGACCCTGGCGATGTCCCCGCTGTGGCACCCTGCGAGGTGTTTGCGGCGGCTCTGTCCTGCGCCATGCCGGTGTTGGCGGTGGCCCAGGGGCACTACGTGGTGGCCCGGCTGGAGGCCCTGGTGCCGGCAGTGCCCCCAGCGCTGCGGGCAGCCCCTGCCTTCGCCCTGCCCGCCGACATGGAGCGGTTCTTGCAGGCGCTGGCGGGCCCAGCTCGGCACAGGGGCCGGTGTCTGGAGCCACACGTGGCGGCCGTGGCCGAGGCTCTGCAGCGGGCGGTAGGAGAATAAAGGGTGACAGTGCTTTTGCTGAGTGTGAGTCCAGCTCTGAGCCCAGCACGGACTGGGATGGGTGGGGAAGGGGTGATGGGGTGGACTGAGATGGCACGGAGAGGGATGATGGGGAGGTATAGGGGCAGGAAGGGGGCTGGGCTGTGTGGGGCATGAAGGGGAAGGGGTTTTTTGGTTGGAGGGTGGATGGGGAAATGGACCAATTTGGGGTGATGATGGGGAAGTGGGCCAGCTCATTGGAGCATGATTGGCAACTGGGACAGTTTGGGGGAAAGTGTGAGAACAAACTGGACCAGTTTAGGGTGAGATGAGGGGGAACTGGGCAAATTTGGGCACAGTGGGAGGGAACTGGATCAGCTTGAGTGGAGGGGGTGAAGGTCAACCCACCTGGTTTGGCTGGGGTGGGAGGGATATTTAGAGGGCCCCTCCCAGGCCAGGCGAGGCCCGGGATGGTGCGCTCCGGGCACCCGGTCCCGCTCCGTGCGGGGTCACCCACTGCAGCCAGTCCGCGCACCCACGTCCCGGGCCTTTGCGCGCGGCCCCTTTAAGGCGCGGGTGGGCGGGCCCATGGCGCGGCGCTGATTGGCTGGGAGCGGGGGGCGGGCGGCGGCGGCGCGCGGCCATTGGCGGGGGCGGCGGCGCTGAGTCAGCGGGCGCGGCCCACGTGGTGCGGGCGGGGCGGGCGCACGATGGGGCCGCTGCTGCCGCGCTCGCCCCGGCGCGGGGGGCCCGGGCTGGGGGGGGCCCTCCTGGGGGCCGCCCTCCTCGGGGGGGTCCTGCTGGCCGTTCACGCCGACCCCGACCCACACCGAGACGGCGCCGAGCCGTGCCGAGCCTGCCGCGGCCTCGCCGACAGCTTCATCAAGGTGCGCGCCGGGGGAGCACAGGAGTGATGGAGGCCGCGGCGAGGGGGCACACGGGGGGTAAAGGCACCGAGGGGTGTGGGCTGACACAGCCGCTGCTTCGGGGGGGAGCTGGGGGCCAGGGGACAGTGACGGGAGGGGCCCACGGGTGGCAGACGTGGGGGACACGGCCTGGAGGTGACAGTGAGCAGGGTCAAGGGGGGTCCTGGGTGGGGTGATGTTGGGGGGCCCAGAGGAATCACAGACCGGGGGATAAGGGTGGTGACAGGGCCCGATGGAGGGGTGGTTTGCGGGGGACAGTGGTGAAGTGGAGGCACTCCTACGGCGTTCCCAGGGGCACAAGGACTGGGCTCTGGGGAGGGGAGAGGGTGGCCGGTCCCTGCAGGTGATGTGTCCTGTGGAGCCCTACGGATGGAGAGGTTATTGGGGGGGTTTCCATGCCTGCACTGCCGCTCCCCTATCACCCAGGGCCTGGAGCGGACAGAGCATGAGGGCTTCGGTGGGGGTAACACGGCGTGGGAGGAAGAGAAGCTGTCCAAGTACCAGCACAGGTAAGTGACCCCAGTGAGGGGCTGGGGCAGCCCAGCTGCTGCAGACATTATACCCCACACTGGCTTGTGTCCCTGCAGCGAGACCCGTCTGCTGGAGGTGCTGGAGGGTGTCTGTGCCCCCTCGGACTTCGCCTGTCACCAGCTGCTGGAGCGGAGCGAGGAGCACGTGGAGCAGTGGTGGTTCCATGAGTGAGTCTGGAGACAGGGACAGGGGGTTGGCAAGGGGCACAGGCAGGTGGCAGGGGGCTGAGTGCTGTATCTTCCCCTCCCCAGGCAGCAGCAGCACCCTGACTTTTTCCAGTGGCTGTGTGTGGACAAGCTGATGCTTTGCTGCCCACCCGGCACCTACGGTCCGGACTGCCGGTGTGAGTAACTGTGGGGTGAGCGGGTGCTGGTGGGACAGAGGGGCTCTCCTGGCTGCTGCCCTCTGTCCCAGCTGCCAACTGGTCTCTCCCCGTGCAGCCTGTGCGGGCGGGCCCCGGCAGCCCTGCAGCGGCAACGGGCGCTGCGATGGTGACGGCACGCGCCGTGGCACCGGCCTGTGCGTCTGCAGCCCCGGCTACGGCGGCCCCTTCTGCGCCGAGTGCGGGGACGGCTACTATGAGGCCTCACGGAACAAGAGCCACCTCGTGTGTGCTGGTAGGTGGGGGCTCTGCCGGTGCTGAACAGCCTGGGTACAGGCAGCTCCCCCCTGCCCGTGTCCACGTGTCTGTCCCTGCCCGCAGAGTGCTACCAGGCGTGCGGGCGCTGCACGGGTCCCGAGGACTCCAGCTGCCTTCGCTGCAAGAGGGGCTGGGTGCTGCATGAGCACCGCTGCATCGGTGAGTGAAGGCCAGGGGTGAGCTCAGGGCCGTGGGGGCTGCGTCCCCAGAGCTGAGGCTCAGCGGGGCCGTCCCCATCTCTCCTGCAGATATAGATGAGTGTGGCACAGAGATGGCGCACTGCCGAGCCAACCAGTACTGCGTCAACACAGAGGGCTCCTACGAGTGCCGAGGTCAGGGGGAAGGGGGGGTTTTCGTGCAGGTGGCTCTTCCCTGCTTGGGGCCAACCTTGGCTGGGCTGGGAAGGAGCTCTGGCAGCAACCCTGGCTCCATTCCCTGAGGCAGACTGCTCCACGGCTTGCATCGGCTGCATGGGTGCTGGGCCGGCTCGCTGCAAGAAATGCAACAAGGGCTACTGGCGGGATGGAGCCAAGTGCCTGGGTGAGTGCCTCCCATGGACTGGGGGGCCATACTGCCCCCTCTTCACTGCCCAAGCCCAGCCTGACCCCTGGCTCCCCCCCTAGACGTGGATGAGTGTGCCAGTGCCGAGGAGCCAGTGTGCACAGGGGTGCAGGAGGTGTGTGAGAACACAGAGGGCAGCTACCGGTGCGTCTGTGCCCAAGGCCACGTCCGCCGAGACGGGCAGTGCGTGGAGGACAAGCCCCCTGGTATGGCCTAATGCAGTGCAGGGGGACATTGGGCAGGGGGTGTGGGACGTGAGGGGGGACTCTTGCTGGTCAGCTGTGCCCTCCCACGAGTGTTGTCCATGCAGATGCCCCAGAGAAGGGCTTCTTTGATGACGTGACTGATGACGAGGTGGTGGTGCTGCAGCAGATGTTCTTTGGTGTGATGATCTGTGCCCTCGCCACGCTGGCTGCCAAGGGTGACATGGTCTTCACCGCCATCTTCATTGGCGCCGTGGCTGCCATGGCTGGCTACTGGCTCTCTGACCGCAGTGACCGTGTCCTCGATGGCTTCATGAAGGGCAGATAGCTCTGGAGCTGCTGGGCACAAGCAGAGGGGCAGACTCAGCTTGGGGTGCAGGGCCTCCCCCAAGCAGGGCTGGCTGCCAAGGCTGCATCCTGTAGATGCTGTGCCCTGCATGCGTCCCCCAGCCCCCCCCCTTAGCATAGGGTCTTGTTTTCCCTGTCCCTGCAGAATGAGCCAGGAGTACCTGATCCTGGGGGCTCCCACACAGCCCCCTCTGGATGGAGGGGTGATGCCAGGCAGTGCAGCATCGTGTGGGGGGCACAGCATGCTGCCCCCAGCTCCTCGTGCTCTGGAGGAGAGGCCGGGCATTGTGACAGGTGAGGGGGTGGAGGGGCAGGTGAGGGAGGGAACCTGCTGTCTGCCCCCAGGCTGGGGCTCCTGGCCCTGTAGGACTCCCCTCCCATGAGGCCGTTCCCTGTGGGAGAGTGGGGGGCTGGGTCCCCCCATGCCCTGAGCTGTGCGGCTGGGAGAGCTGCCCCCCATCCCTGGGCAGAGCCCATCTCCCCTCCCAGGCTGGGGGCCAGGGGCCCCTCGCCGCTGGCAGGGTGCTGTGCTGGTGAGGGGGCCCTGCTGGATGCATGAGTGTGGCCGTTGCATTTGTCCGTGGTTTGTCCGTCGGGGTGTGCCCATCTGTCCGTGTGTCCATATCTCAGGAAATAAAGCTCTGCACACCCAGCTTGGCTGCTCAGGGTAGGAATTGGTGGAGATTGGGGGTGCTGCTGCCCACCAACGCTTTCACATGCCAACAGGACCGTCTCCTCCCAGCATAAACTCTTTATTTCTCTCGTTTGGCACAAATGGAACCGCCCCTGCCCGGCCCTACAGGGGCACAGGATCAGACCCCCGCACCCTCACAGTGTCCTCACCCTCACATCGTCCTTCTGCGCCCCCAGTCTCTGCTTGTCCCGGGCTCAGAGCTCAATGGTGTCGCTGGAGAGGCTGCGGGAGTCCAGCGCCTTGCCGAGGGCTGGGAAGGCGCGGGGACCCTCCCGCTCGCAGCCGGGGGCTCCGGCGGGCACCAGGAGCGGGGCCCGGCTGGGCGCCTCGTCCAGGGGCAGGCTGTCGGGCGAGGACAGCCCGTGGCGCCAGGGGTTCCAGCTGATCTTCAGCGAGCTGCTCTCCAGCGAGCTGGCCGAGGCGGTGACGGTGACAGTGATGGTGCCGTGGGGCTGGCGGGGGCCGGGCAGCTCCGTGAGCGAGCTGCAGCGCACCATGCGCCCCAGGCCGGGGGTCTTGTCGGGGGCAGGGGAGCCGTGCAGCGAGGAGCCGGAGCCGCGGCGGGCCCGGCCGAAGAGGCCGTCGTGCAGGAGGTGGCGGCGGCAGAGCGCCTGGTCGATGCTGCGGCGCAGGTCGATGGGGGACGGCGGGCGGAAGATGAGCTCCCCCAGGGAGGGCGACGAGCCCTGCTCGAAGGCGGCGCAGGAGCGGGCGGCCAGCATGTTGGGGCACTTGGGGCTGAGCCCCGGCATCCCGGTGCCAGCTGCCCAGACCTCGTTGCTGTCCTTCAGAGCCCGCAGCGGCAGCTGCTCCGCCGGGTTGCGGATGAGGTTCTTGGAGATGTCGTTGGCGGGTGTCCGCTCCGCGCCGCTGCCGCCGGTGCCGCCGCCGGCCCAGTCGTAGCAGTTGTTGGGGTATTCGGGTGCCTCAGCTTTGCGGCCGGCGCAGAAGTACCGCAGTGCCTTGGCCCAGCAGGAGTGGCCGGCGGGGCTCCGGCGGCGGCACCGGCAGCACACGGGCTCGGCGGCGGCCGCCAGCAGCGCCAGGGCCGTGCCCAGCTCGCCGATCCGCAGCCAGAGCTGTGCCGCCCAGCTGGGCCGGGAGAAGCGCCCCTGGGGCCCCAGGACCGCCCGCAGCCACACGGCGCTGAAGAGCTGCAGCCCGCAGACCGGCAGCCCCGCCACCGTCGCCGCCAGCAGCGCCCGCGCCCCCGGCTGCGGCCCCGGCCCCTCGCAGGGCGCCCGCAGCGCCCGCCAGCACCCCCAGAGCCCCCCCAGCAGCAGCAGAGCCCCCGCCCCGCAGCCCAGCGCCTGCAGCCCCAGCGCGGCCGGGAGCCCCAGCCGAGGCGGCAGCAGGTCGGCGGCGCCCATCACCGCACCCTGCAGGGCAGCGGCAGCCCCCAGCGCCGGCAGCCCCCGCAGCCGGGACGGCAGCAGCTGGAGCTGGGCCAGGCGCTGCAGCCGCTGGAGCAGGAGGGCAAAGGCGGCGAGCAGCAGGGGGAAAGGGGCCGTGTTGAGCAGCAGCAGCGCCGGGCTGGGCAGGCGGCCCCGTGCCCCGTAGGGATCCAGCAGCAGGAAGGTGGCCCGCAGCAGGCAGGCGGCCAGCAGCAGCCCGTGGGCCCCCACAAGGTGGAGAAGGTGTGGGGGCCGCAGGATGGCTGTCCCCGCCAGCCCGGCCAGGCAGCCCAGCGCCAGCAGCAGGAACACCGCAGCCAGTCCATAGACGTGGGCCTCCCAGGAGAAGCCCAGCTGGCGCTGCAGCTCGGCCCAGCGCAGCCCGCTCGCGTTGGCCCCCGGCGCCGGCGGGGCACGGACCGTGGGCTGTGGCTGCGGCGATGATGGATCCCGGGGCACCGGCTGAGGCGTCGTCCCTGCCCGTCGCCACGTGGCCGAGGGGGCCGCGGTGCTGGAGGCTGCGGGCTGCGTCCCCGGCGTGTCTGCAGGTAGGAAGGAGGACAGTCGGGGGAAGTGGGGGGCTTGGTGCCGCTCGGGCCGCACCTGCACCCCGCACTGCGCTGCATCAAATGTGGCACCCCGACACTGCGGCGGGGGATGCCCTGTGCTGGCCGGGCTTTGCCCACCGGTGCCTCCCGGGGTTTTCTCTCAGGACGCGCCGTGCAAGGGGTGGCACAACCCCGGTCACGTCCCCCACCCCCTTGGGGAAGCCCCCACCCACCGAGCATTTAGCGCTAATCCCTGCGGGCAGGAGTAGATTAGGGCCGCTGTCAGGTGGCAATCCTGATTGAAGGTGTCACTGTGTCCCGGCTGGGCAGCCCAAGATAGCTGCCATCCCCCCGCCAGCCCCGACGCCCCGGGGATGGGCTCCCACAGCGTCTGCAGAACGGATGGGCTTGGACGCAGCCCTGTATCACCTGGGTGCGTTGTCCCGAGCGTCCCCGTGGTGGGATGTGCCGTTGGCTGTGGGGTCGTTTGGGTGGCATTTGGGACACTCACAGGGCCCACGGCGCCCCGGACCTGCTGCGGGGAGCCGACGTCTTCCTCGGGCAGCAGTCCTGAGAGAGAGAGAGAGAGCAGGGCGCTGACACCTGCAGGGCTTGGTCCCCGCCATACCAAGGGGTCCCCCCGCACTGTGCTGGCTCCTACCTGTGCTCGGGGTACCGGGGGTGCCCGTGCTGGAGGCGGGGGGTGGCGCAGGGCCGGTGCTGGGGACAGACCCTGGGACAGGCTGAGGTCCCCGCTGCCCCATAGTCCCAGGGTCCGTCCGGGGGCCTGCATCGCCAGGGCTGGTGGTGGCGTGGCTGAGCGGGGCCCTCCGGGTGCTGCGATGGAGGGACGGGAGCGCCCGAGTCCAGGGCTCAGCCAGCCCCCAGGACGGGGCAGTGTGGCGCAGCCGTGGGGCAGAGCTGGGCAGAGCCGGGGAGGGGCTGGGGGGCCCTCCCGTGTTCCCCCAGCTGCCCACCAGCTGCACAGAGCCAGGGCTGGCATGGGGACCCCAGGCTGGCCCCGTTCCTCCGGGATCAGAGACAGGGGCTGTGCCCGGCGGGACCGACTGGCTGCTGGCTGAAGTGAGTTTGGCATCCTGAGAGAGGCCCGGGACCGCCGTGTGTCCCTCTGCTGCTGTGTGTCCCCCTGCCTGGGCATCTGCTGTCCTCATCCCCGCCGCCAGCGTGGGGTCCAGGGCAGTGGTGGGTGCGGCTGGCTGAGGGTTGGGGGTGCTGGCTGTCTTGGAGACGCTGTGCCTGGACAGGGAAAGGCCCTGCCCTGCCCAGGGTGGCCCTGAAGAGTCTGCTCCTCTGTCCGTGGGCACCTCAGGGCCCGGCGTACCCAGTGCGGAGCCGTGGGGCAGGGGCCTGTCCTGGACTTCAGCTTCGTGCCCTCGCCAGGCAACAAGCGGCTCCTCTGTCACAGCCGGGACTGCGCTGCCGTCCCTCCAGACCTTGCTATCAGCACCTGTCGTAGTGGTTTCCATCTCCAGGGGTGCCCTGGTGCCATCCCCTGCCTGCAGAGGTGGGGACCAGTGCACGGGGTGCTTGACCCCCCAGCGCTCACTCCTTGGGGCCCCGGCACCGCTGGGCTCCCCCGATGCCTCCCAGGCAGGGGATGGGCCTGGCCACTGCTGTCCCCAGGCACGGCTGTGCAAGGGGTCCCCACCTAAGGACAGCCCTGCCGGCGCCACCCCCTGGGCTTTGGCGGGGACCCCGGTGGCCAGGAGCATCCCCCAGGTGACGAGCTGTGCTGCAGCCATGGTGAGTACCGAGTCGACCCTGTGGAATGGGGATGTGGTGAGCCAGGATCCGCGGCAGATGCCCGGGTAACTCGTGCAGCTGGCCGTGATGCTGCTGTGCCCTTGGCCACCCACTGCCCAGGGAGAGAGACAGTGGCTTGGCTGTCCCTTCCCGGGTAGCCCTGGGCTCTGTTCCCAGCTGTCCCCGTCCCAAGTGACCCCATTCCCAGTCTTCCCTTTCCCAGTGTCCCCTGGTGTTCCCCATCCCGGTGTCTCCGGTGTGGGTGGTCCTTGGTGCTTAGTGGCCCCGACCCCGGTGTCCCTTTCCGTCCTTAATGTCCCCTCCCCGGTGCTCAGTCCTGGCGTCCCTCTCGGTGTCCCCTCCCCGGTTCTCCATCCCCAGTGTCCTCGCCCGCTGTCCCCGCCGCCGGCGGCCCCGCTCCGCCGCGCACCGTTCACCTTGGCGCGTCCCGGCCGCATCCCGGCGGGGATGCTCGGTCCGGAGCCCCGCGCTGCCGCCGCACACCGGCTCAGACCCGCCGGGCCGGGAACGGGGCCGGGACCGCCAGGCTGCTGCGGCGGCGGCCCCGCGGCGCGGTGCGGATTACCGGCGGGGCTGCGCAGCGGAGTCGGGCCGCGGCCGGTGCGGGACCACAGCGGGGCCGGTGCGGCCGCCGCATCCCGCCGACCCCACCCGCAGCGCGCCGGGCCGGCTCCACCGCTCGGTGCCCGGTGCGCGGGCCGCGGTGCCGCCAGCCCCCTCCCGCCGCCCGCCGCAGCACGGGCGGCCCCAGAACTGGTGCCCCGGGGGCCGCAGCCCCCCGCGCTGACCTGCCGGTGCTGGTGGCGGTGCGGGCGGGCCGGGCTCTGCGGCGGAGCGGGCGGCGGCGGCAGCGGCAGCCGGTCACGCGCCGCCCCGAGCCGCGGGCACCCGCACGGGAGCCCGCCCGCACCGGGAGGGGGGGCGCGGGGCACGGCCGGGGCCGCCGCCGGGACGGGATCCGCAGGGCCGGCCACGGGGGAGAGCGGGTCCGTGGGGCTCAGCTCAGTCCGGGGCAGGTTCGGGTGGGCTCCCAGGCACGGGTTCTCCGTGGCGCAGCTCCTCCGGGACGTGGATTCCGGGGGGCACCGGGGCAGGTTCCGGGGGTCAGGACGCGGCGGGGCGGCGGACGGGGGATGCTGCCCCTGGGACGGGCCCGGCCGAGGCTGGTCCCGCGGCCGCCGGGGATAGGCGGAGGGAGAGGGCAGTCGGATCCACTAGCAGGGTCCTGAGGGAGGTCTGAGGGGGCCCTGCCCCACACCTGCCCCACACTTGTCTCTCAAAAGCTCAGCACGGATATGCAGCACCCTGGCAGCCACTGGGATGTGGGGCCCTGCCAAGGTTCAGGTAATTGGTTAATCTGCTTAATTGTCCGGCTGGAAAACTGCCCACCCTGCCCAGGCTTGAGCTGGCAATGGTAAGGCCACAGCGTCAAAAAGTCCCATCAGCTCAGGGCTCCATCCTGCAGGGTGACATCTGCACTCCAGCTCCCTGCCTGCACCCCTGCTCCTCCCTGCCTGCACCTCAGCAGTGCTTGAGCCACCAAAGTCTTGGCAAAGTCCTGCCATCCCCATTGCTCCTCTCGCCAGGCCAGCAGGTACATGTGGCACCTCAGGTCCCCATGACAGCACCTGTGTGCCGGCAGTAGCGCACAGTGTCCCACTCCTGCTCCCTGCCACCTCTCCATTTCCAGGGCACTGTGTTCACCACTAGCACATGAGGCATTTCTGGTCCCTGATCCCCTCCTCTGTGGGGTCTGGAGGCCGTGGCAGCCAGCTGAGCACAGGGTCTGGGAATCTGGCCAATTTGGGCACACTGGGCCCCAGAAGGCAGGCAGGGCAGGCAGCTGGTCTGGGGAGGCCACACAGGGGGAGAGTGCAGGCGATCCTGCCCTGCACCAAGCACTGCCAGCACTGGGCACCACTGCAGCTGGATGGTCTCACCTGAGGAAGGTGCAGCTGCAGTGCTGGGTGTGCAGTGGCACTGTGGGGAGGGAGCTGGCTGTGCCCTGTATGCCACAGCCATTGGAGCACCTTCGGCACCAGGCAGGGGCGCAGCAGCCGCCTCCACATCCTCGGTGCTGTCAGAGGTTTCCTCCTCTGCCAAGTGACTCACTGGCAGATGAAAAGCTGAGCCCCTGCTCTGTGCTGCTGCAGCAGCCACGTGCCTGCTGCCTGCACAGCTGGGTGGAGGATGCACCATCCAGTTCTCTCAACCCCTGTGCCCAGGGCCACCTTGGTGTCACAGGCTTTTCATCACTGTTCTCCCCCAAGAAAGGTTCCAAACGCCAGTTTCAGAGTTTCAGAGAAAATGGCCCCAGTTAAATGCCCTCAGACAGACTGGAACCCAGCTTTGCTTTTTTCCTGACCATTGTTTGTGTTTTATTGTTCTGCCCTGTGCCCTCCACAGTTCTTCTTGGCCATGCTGCAGGAGGAACCACCCTGGCACCTTCCCTGGCTGAAGGGTGGGACAAGACCCTCACAAATACTGGTATGGCAGCTCCATGGACACAAAGGGCAGGAGAAACCACACATACCTGGGGCATGGCTGACCCAGCAAGGAGCCAGTGACAGTGAGTTGGGAGTACAGGCTAGGAGGCAGGACCAGCTCCTCCAGGGTGCAAGCAGAGTATCTTGGAAATCCACTGCCATGCAGCATACACAGTTCCATTTTTGTCCAGCAAGGCTGGGAGAGGAGCTGCCATCCTCACAGCCATACTGGGACAAATGCCCTTGTTGGCAGCTGAAACCCTGGAGGAGACCCTGAGTGGGAATACACAGGGGGACTGTGGGGGCCAGGGTGTTATGCTGGGGCTTCGTCCCATGCACCAGGGAGGTTGTCCTGTGCAAGGGGAGGCATTGCTGGCTGCTCCTGCTGTTACTCCTCCATCTCCAGGGATTTTGTTTTGCACTGTGCTCCAGTGTGTGTTTGTGGCAAGGAGCTGCAGGGTCCCCAGGGAAGTCCTGCATTGCACCCCACGGCACTGATGCTCCATCTCTGCGTGCCAAAGAGCCGGTCCCTGCTCTGCCTCTGCACAGGGGCTTGCAGCAGACACCTCCAGAGGTCCCTCCAAGCTCAGCCATGTGCTGCCGAGCTCCCAGCATCCGCACCAGGGGCTGCACAGAGACCTGCACCAGTCCTTGCTAATTCCAAGGCACACGGAGTGGAAAGCCCACCGAACAGGTTTTGCCCAGCGTGCTGGGGGGGCGGGTACACAAGGGCAATGTAAATAACAGCCACTCCTGCCGGCAGCCATCACCAACACCCTTCACTGACAGGGGCATCCCAAGGCTCTGGGGACTCCCCTTATCTAACTATCCCCCCCACCCCAGCTTCTCCTTGTTAATTAATATCACTGGACCAATGTTAAGCTGCAAGGGTGAAGGTTTCTGTCTTTAAATACCAGAGAGGAGCTAAAAAAAAGAATCCTCCTGATTCCACCATCCAGGGGAGTTAAACAGCTAAAGAACAGCTGCCTATTCTCCTGCTGGAAGAGGACTCTACCTCTCCCAAAAAAACAAAACAAAAAAAAAAGAAAAAAAAAAAAAAAAAGAAAAAAACTCAACCCAACATAGAGACACTGGGCTCTGGTGAAGATGAGTTTATTAAAGCCAGAAGAAAGGGATCACAGCCATTTCCCATGGCATAGCTGGATAATTTGAATTTGTGGCATTCTGGTTTTGTCAACACCAAAATGTTTCTTCTGCTGGTAACATTTCAGATCAAAAATCAAACGTGACACCAGTGTCCGAAGCAGTGGGAGCTGCCCACAGTCCCAGCTGGGCACCCTGAAGAGAGTTGCTCTGTGGGAACTGGGACTGTCCAGACATCTCATCTGCTGGATCTGCCTGTTGTATCTTTGGTTTCTGAGAACCACTGGCCTTGAAAAGGGTATGTTGGAGAATTCTTTAATCAGCCAAGAGATACAAAAGACAAATGAAGTAGAAACAAAATAACTTCCTGAATCTCTGAAACTGAGGAATTTCAGCCTGTAAGGAGAAGAGATACAGTACTGGACAAACCTGAGACACTGGGGTTTGGTTTTCCTCAGTTAAACCTCTCCCTGCCAAACATTCACAAACAACTCCTGAGACAAATCTGAACCTGATTGAAATCGACCAGAACAATACTACTCTACTAAAAACCTGAACTTTTACATAGCAAACCAACAGAGATACTCGGAGTGAGAAACAGAGTGAAGCCTCGGGGCACAGCGATAGCATTGTATCAATCTAGCTGAGGAATTTCCAGTAGACCTCGGTGCCAAATCTGACTGAACTGACAGTCTGCTCTGCCAGCCCTCTCCTCCCTGGGAATGTCAGGTACTTCACTGCTGTGTAAATGTGTAACTCAAGCCCATGGCATTTCTGCTGGGAGCAGGGAAGTAAAGCAGCACAGATCCCTTCGGCTTTCCAAGCCAGGGGAGAGCCCTGCTTAGTCCCTTACAATATCTCCAATTGGCAATAGCACTTTCAAGCATGCAGGCCTGAGTCTTGCCTCTGACTATGCCAGTAACACACCTAGAGGAATAAACTGCAGCTGAAATGGTCATCCTGCACTAGGGGCTCTGAGCATGAAACAAACCCCTTCAATCAGAAGAATCACAATCTAACAGTAAAGAGCAACAGGCTGTTTTCTGCTGTGCCTGTGGATTGACAGGGTGTGGTTTCTTGGAGCTTGAGGGGCTTTGGAGGCTGAAGTAGCTCATTTGCTTTACATCTGTTGTGCTAGACAGGGAGAGTACATTCTCCTCGGGAGAGGAATCCAGGAGATACCTTTTTACACTGGAAACATTCATTGTTTTTTTAATTTCAAGACTTCTCTTTCTTCTGCTTTCAGGTTGTTGCAGGCTTTTATCAGAGTGTGGCACTGGTGTGAAATTCTTTGTAAGCCCCATCTGAGCACTGCTGAGGATCTGCTGATGGGGAGCTGCAAAAACCAGGTCAGAATTTTCTGAATTGAGATCAACCAAGTAGCTGTGAAGGGTATTTTTTCTGGAGCTTTCCAAGTCAATAATCCCAGTTGCCTTCCTCTGCTTCAGCCCACTGTCAGCACATCCAGAGCGTTCACCTTTCCCCTTAGTGGAGTGTGTTGTCTTTCTCCTTATTGCTCTTTTCCAGGACATCCTTCCTGGACTCAGTTTTGTTTTGTTCCCTACAGCTGCCTTCTCCACCTCATGGTTTGTGGGCCAGTTGCTGTATCTTTGCCCAGGTGTAGCTTTCTGTGTAGAATGGTGGCAAACTTGAGGCTGCTGCTGCTGTGATATTGTCAGGGGTTTAAACCCTCGAGTGCCTCTCCTGAACGCCTTCCTCAGGGGGGTTGGTAGAGGCCCTTCCAGTGGTACAGGACACTGTTTCCTCTGACTACTCCCCAAAAAGTGTCTGCCAGCCCAGCACATGCAAGGATGGGCAGCACAGCTCTGTGTCTCCAAGCTGCATTTCACCTCCTGCAAGAAGGTGTTTGCTCTGTCACAGGCTGCTGTAGCAATGGGGCTGGCTTTGTCTTCTGAGGCTGGGTTTAGGTCACCCTTAGATGTGCCATCTCCAGTGAGCTGGTTCCCTCCAGGGGAGGCTCTGTTTTGCTGTCCCACTGTCACACAGGGGAAATAAGACCAGCCTGAACAGCTGCAAACTCCCCTGCCTGGGCAGCATGGCTTGTGCAGGTGCTCCTCACTCAGGACACAGTACTGGCACAGCCCAGGGGAGGTCTGGAAAGATTTATCTGCCGTGTGGGGGGGCAGGCTGGCACCAGACAAAAGCGTGTGCTGCCCAGCTGAGGCATTACACGGCGTCAGGAAGCCAAGTTCTTTACACGACTTCAGGAACTGGTCATTCAGCTGGGCTGGCAGGGACTCCAGACCCTCCTTCAGCAGCTGCATACTGGATTTCATATCCAAAATCTCAGCATCTTTCTGGGGAAGCAGAAAGCAGAGCAGAAGCAGTAAAAAACACACAAAAAGGCGCAATAAGTAAGGACATTTTAGGTACTATGTATCAGTTTGGTATTGACCCAAAGATTAGCAATTTGCATCTTCTTGTGTAATAGATATCCTCAAACTCTCCCACAAAGGTGAGAGGTTTGGGACTGGAGCATCCCCCTAACCCAGAGTGTGCCCCCTCTCCTAGGAGCACTGCCTTCTCATGTGCTGGTGTGACACATCCTTGCCAAAAGCAATTCCTGCAGCAGGGCCTTTGGAGAAACCAGCCCTGATCAGGAGGTCTCTGACAGTTCATTCTTGTGTCGCTCACATCCACTTGTTTCCTTTTCATGTCTTTTTTCCTCTCCCTGTGACACACCTGGCTGAAGGGACAAGGTGCTGAGGGACGAGCTGCTCTCCCCTCACAGGCTTGCACTGCACATGTCTCCAGCAAAGGCATGTGTCAGGTGAGGAAGCAGAGAGTGCTCCATCACAGCCTGCCACAACAAGGCACTGTTGGCTTCTTCTCTTACCGACCAGGGCTTTGTCAGAGCTTACAGCACTGTTAGCCAGTGCCTGGGTAAGCCTCTGTCAGTAGCTGGCCTAGAATTAGCTTTTTAATATGTCTTTCCCCTTTCATTATAACAGGAGCAGTCTGCTTTATAATCCACCATTCGAAGGCAATTTAATATTCAGTCAGTATTTTGAAGAAGCAGGAGAAATTCAGAATGAGGACTCAGAATAAAAGATTAATTTCTTCACTTACGGCTGCAAGTCTCCTCTCCATCTCCAGCAGTGCCTGCTCCATTTGGCTTTTTTCTGTCAAAGCTTTCAGCACCAAGCTGCAGTGACTTTGAAGAGCATCTTCCACTAAATAGGGAAATCAATAAAAACCACATTTGGTCTTTCATTTGTAAATGTGAATAAAGTGCTATCAGTACTATTGCTACTCTCTGCATGGCTTGGCATGAATCACCACATGATTCTCCTGCTGTGATCTCCCCAAGCCCCGAGCAATGAACAATGGGGTGGATTTTTAATGGAAGACACTTGACATTTATAAGATGCTGCACATAGTCCAAACCTCATTTACTGCCCTCTGTTAATGTGGCAGCTGGAGAGGAGAGGCTGTGCAGAGCTGCAGAATTTGGTAGGCTGAATGCAGGGAAGGCTGAGGCTTGGTTGTCTACCAGGTGCACAACAGGCATGGCCAAGGCAGGGGGACCCCAGCATAGCTGATCCATCCCTGTATAAACAGCACTGTCATGCAACCAGGTGATGGGAAATGGGGCTTGAACTGGATGGAGGTGTAAGAAGTTAATGGCTAAGAAGTACAACCAGAGAAACTGTGTCACAAATGCACAGGAGGCTGAAAATGGAAGGAAAACTGCTAGAAGGAATAGAGAGAAATTATGAAGGAGTGTGCAAAGAATTGGAATTTCCATTTGCCAGTCATGGGAAGGGATGGGGTCAGAAATCACCTGAACCAGGCAGCTGTGCCCAGCACTTAGTAGTGGGGGCCCCAGCAGAGTCCTGTGGAGGCACAGGCTCCCTGGGAGGGTTTTAAATTGAAGCAAGTTGCTCTTGGCTTCAGTCAGTCTTTTTGAAAAACTGATAAAACCCCAGGGATTTGTGTTATATGATTGTATAACTATATAAATCCCCCCATACAACTTCAATTACTCTTATAGGAACCACTGCTGTGCCTAATACATTATGGGATAGGAACACAGCTTGCATTGTGTGTGGAGATGAAAAATCTTTAGCAATCTTGTGGAAGTCTACTTTAAATTTGTAAATTAGGACAGAGAGAAAGAGCTGAGAAAGAGTGGAGAGGAAGAGCTAAACATGTCTGGTCTTTCCTGTGAAGGGTGCAGGAAGGTGTGTACAGATGGTGAGGAATGTTGGCTGGCTGGCACAGAACAGGATCCAAAGCACTCTTGCTAAGGTAAAGCACTGCCAAACCAATGGGCCAGGATAACTGAAACCCTGGAGTGCTGGAGCACTGCACACCTGAGAGAAATCAGAACAAAGCCTACATTTCAACGAGCTGCTACAAGAGCTCTGCAATTAATGAATCTTCTTTTGCTACAGATCCAAGGTGTTTGATTGACTTTGGTGTCAGAGGAGCTGAGAGCCCATCTGAAGCTGTTCCTGCTCTGCAGTGTTTATCTCAGCTCCTTGCTGAGCACCTCTTGCCCCACAGTGCTGTGCTCAAAGGCTGCAGGGCACTGGGGATCCCTTCTCCTCCTGCTCAGCTCTTTTCATTAAGCTTCCAGGGACTTAATTATCTCAGTGAGCTGTGGCCTTCTGTCAAACTGGAGATGGAATTGGTTAAAGAGCTAATAACTATTAGGGAGCGGCGGGCAGAAAGTGATTGTACAGGCTTTGCTTCTGAAAAAACAGGGATGGTTTTGAAATTTTGGGAAGGAAGAAAGGAAAACAATCTGAGCAATTATGGGCTTAGTAATTTGTTCTCTTATGGTGCAAGGTCTTAGAACAGACTTTGAGGAGAAAAGTACTCAAATATATGAATTTGAGGGAAGGGAAATAGAATAAGAACAAGATTTTATAAAAGGTGTATTGTGATTTAATACTCTAGGACAATGCAGGTGACTTCTTTGTCAAAGACAACACAGTGGCCTTTCTGTAGATTCAAACGAAGCTTTTCACTGGAAGTTGTCATGTAATATAAAAAAAAGGAGAAAAAATAAGGAGAAACTTAAAAAATAAGCCTCAACTAAAGGGAAAACATCAGCTCTTGAGCTGAGTGGCATGAGGGGACAAGGCAGCTCTGACAGGTGCTCATCAAGGCCTTCTCATGAGCCAAACAGGCTTAAAATCTGCTATAGCCACCTGGGTGCAAAAGTCAAATGGCATTCAGTTATTTAGCAAGTGACACAAGGATGTAAATGCCAGCCCCAGAGGCCACAGGTGACACTGGGCAGTGGGGTGAGTGGCAGTGCACCAGCTCTGGCTGACAGAACTGCTATGCACCCCAAGATGTCTGGAAGCCCACATTCCTTCCCAGCTGTCTATGTGCAAGGAAAGAAAGAGACTGGGCTAGACATGGGCAGAGAAAAGCTGCAAGTTAATTAAGTGCTTACATGGTAATCTCCTCTTATGAAAGGAGATTGAAAGTGTTTGTCCCATTCAGCCACGCAAAGCTGAGGCGCGGGGTGGCGCAGGGCTGAGGTGCCACTCAGGGATGGGCACAGGGAATGGCACCTCCTGGCACCAGGAATCCCCTGTGCCCTGCTGGGATGTTAACTTTGCCTCCTCCAAAGGAGCCCTGCTGGGCACAGTGCACACAGCTGTCATTTGGGAGACAGAACCCTGCAGTTGCCTTATCTGTGCATCATCCTCACACACACTGAATTAAAACCACCTCCCAGACTGGAGCTCGAGGGGAATTTCTCCATTATATCAGGATGCACATCACCACATGGCTTTGCCTTGTTCTCTGTAGGAGCTTGACTGATTTCTGAGGATTATCTGCAGGTATTTCTAACAATATGCTGTTGCAGTCAATGTGGTTGCTGTTTTTAATCTTTTAGTGTTTTGCTCTGACAGATTTAGACTGTTTTAGAAACCTGGAAATCTGTAATTTGTAGGATGGGTTTGTAATGGGGGAGTGAATGTTTGAGTGGGCCTTTAAGACATTTCATCTCCCTGATTGGCAACAAAGGCTACCTGCAATCTGACAGGAGGTTTTGGGGGAGCCTGCCAAATTACAAAGAGAAGGAAAACAGTAGTGACTAAAGGAAGAAACTCCTTTCATGTCACTTTATCACCTTCCATGTCTATATCATGAAGATACGGGAAGGGCAGCATCTGCAAGCTTACCTTGCTGCTCTTCTCCATATGCCTAATTTTAGCTCAGAATTATTTTTAAAACTTTCTGGTTTCCCTAATCTATCTATTCTTCTTAAACATACTATCCTCAGTCTAAAAATAGTCCTGCATCCACTGGGCTTGTGATCTGCACACACATTTGACTCAGCACAGCGTGCTGCCGGCAAGCAAGCAGCAGCCAGCCTTTTGAACGTGTTTCGTTTCTACGTGTAGGAGTGTTCTGCAGAAAAAACCCTCAGTACAGAGGAGGGGACTCTCCTTCCCTCCCTGCTTCCATACCCAGAGAAGTGTTCAGACTTGTCAAGCACTAATAAACAAGGTAAAAATAAGTGTTAATAAAGGCTTACCGAAAAAATAGGCCTTGAGACAGCCAAATTAGATCAGATCAAGGACCCTGTTACGTCTTTTTTCTTTGAATATGATCAAGAAGGGCTGCTTCAGAGGTTTTCTTCAAATAAACCCTGCAGCAGATAGTTACTGAATAACTTGATCACAGACAGGAAATCTTTACTCAGTTAATGGGTGACTTATGCACAGACTTGTGCCTCTCTCGAGGTAATTTAAACAAAGCAGTTTTTTACAATCTGAGGCATTGCTGTGTTTTGATTTGCTGTACCCTTGTGTTCTGATGCTGCTGTTTACAATAACAACATTTGGAATATGAAATCTGGCATGAGATAAAAGGCTGAAGGACCTCGGGGTAGGGCTGCCACCCTGTGCTGCAGAGAGTTCCCTGCAAATCAGCCTGTGCCCAGGTGCAGCTGCACTCCCAGCAGCTGAAAACTACAGCCTGAGCAGGCAAGGGAGGGAGCACCAGCCTCCCAGCCCAGGAATATTAAACAGCAACTGCTTCTGATGTCTCTCTATCATCATCTACGCAGCTCATCCTGAGATTGGCACTAGCAGCAGAGCCACTTTAAATAACACTTTGGAAGGAGGTTGGTTCCCCCATGCCCAGATTCAGTAGGGGAAATTGGAGGTGCCATAAACCTGGTGAGACACGGGCAGGGAAGACAGCTCTGGAGCTCACCAGAGCACTGCATGCTCTCCCTGGGCAGCCATGGGGCTGTGCCAGAGGGTGAGAGAGTTGGCTGACATGGCTGCACCCTGCTCAGATACACTCCAAGCAGTCAGCTGGCAGGTTTGTGCTGGCTTAGCCTGGGTCCTGTTCCACAAGACATCAGAGAGAACCTGCATCAGGGGACTGTGGGATGAGCTGCCCCTGATCTCACCCTGTGCTACAGCACACACTGCTCCAAGCCCTGAATTGTGACAATGAGGGGTTCCAGTATCTACTGGAACATCCACACTTCCTCTCACCATCCATACGGAGCTGTTTTGGAGTCTGGTTAAGTCCCTCACCTCAAGTTAAGACTAAACCTCTGGTTAAGTCCCTCACCTTTGTCAGTCACTGCATGTCTAGTTAGCAGCTACATGGAAAAAAACATTTTTTAAATCACTTTCAAACTTTTTGACTGTTCAATCCATACAGGACATAAGGGAGTCTGAATTGGGTGTCCCAGTCTGGACCATACTGTTCAAGGTAAACAAGTTCAAATCTCACCATTTTAAACACAGCATGTCCCCTGGAAACTTTGCCAGCAGCTGCTGGGCATGGGGAATCTGGAAGCAAGTCATGTTTGAAAACTGCTCACTGTGCCCTGCATCTTGTCAGAGAACTGCATCACCTCATACCTCTGCAAGTGACATATTGCACATTATTTTGTCACCCTTGATGGCAGTGTGTCAGAGGATTGCCTGTGGCACTCAGACTGGGAGGATGCTGCTCGTGTGCACTGCAGACAAGGTGTTGTGGAGGATTCAGCTGCTCTGAGCTGTCACAGCTGGAACTACCAGATACAGAACAGCAAAGCAGCAAAAGAGGGCTGAGTGGTGAAAATTGACATTTGTATAAAAAAAATAGAAGACTTTAATAGAAGTGTGGATATGAAAATTAAAATGTGAAAAATATGAAAAGAAACAAGCTACAGGAGTGGAAACCGGAAGGAAATAGAAAATAATGAATGGGCAAGTCAACCAGAGAAACTGTATGTACATAAGGTGGAAGAACTGAGGCCACAGGGTCTGTCTGCCTCTTTACCTCCCTGTGCACTGCCCACTGAGATGTGAGCAAGGCACAGAGAGCCTGTGCCTCTGTGGAAGCTGCTCAGCCAAACCTTGTATCATCTCCAGGGCCAGACCCAGCTCTATCCACAGTGTGCAAGCACATATGGACAAACACTCAAAAGAGAATATTTTAAAAAATCTTCCTGCACAGACCACGACAGCCCAGCAGCACTTGGAAATACATTTTGAAAAATATTTTCTGTTTTGCTCTTGCCTGGTGGCTGTGCAGACTATGCCAAATATGCTTGCTACCCACTGCTAAAAATGCAACCTGAGATACTCCTTATAAGCTTTTAATGAAGATAGACTTGATTTCAAGTTCCACCTTCCTTTGGTTTTCAGAGCTGTTGGAATGTTCTGGTGCACTAGTTCTCTTCATCTTCTGCATTCCTCTCCTACATGTGAAATCCTTCACTGCCAGTGATTTAACATATCTCTGCCATGTAACCCACATCCCAAGGTACTGTATCATCACTCTCTGGCATTCAGAACTTTATTCACTCTGAATTTAGCTCTTTCACCTGAGTTTTGGAATTTTATACCAGTTTTTCAAGGGAACTGCCTCTTTTCAAGGCACTGGCGTAGTTATCTATTTTGTGGGAACTTAATTATCCATCACTGTGATATCAGTCAAATGACAGTGTTTATCTGCAATTAACCAGTGACAGATGAACCTCCCAGAAATATAAAAAGAACAACATTGTGCAGCATGTGATGATTTTCATTATATATTCAACATTCTGCAGCATGATGCATTACAGAAACTGCCAATTTTTCTTTTCAATTGCTTTGAAAATCTAGCAGCATGCACCTCTGGGAGGTTTCTCATTTCATTCAAGGCACATTCATTGAAAATGGATATGGAGAGGAAACAGGACAACTGAGTAAATGATATGGAATGAAGAGGGGGAGCCCTGAACAATAGATTTGATTTTCAGTGCCATGACAACAATTTCTGTCCACGAGCTATGTGAAATTAGGCAAAGTCCTGCTGCAGAGTGGACAAGTTGAGGCACTGAAGTAATTAGAAGGTGGGAAAATGTGTAAGAGGGAATTTGCTGTGCTGGCCAAAGCAGACAGATTTTTGTTTACATTAGGGTCCCACCAAGAGCATTTGCCAAGCACAGCAAGGGAATGTTCTTAGTACAATGAGATTAGTCTTTCAAATGTACAGCCTATCATGGCCTCCAGCATAATGAATCAGACTCCACTCTTTTTGCTTGAGAGGGCTCTGTTGATTTAAAAGCTATCTGTCAGAGATGTGCTTTGTGGGAGCCACATTTTGCCACACAGTAAATACCACTGTGCTTTTGTGAAGGTCTGCTGCCTTCATCTCACAAGATACAACTCACTTCACGTTTCTTGTGTATATTGAAAATGGCCTCTTGCTCTGGCACAGAGCAGAGCAACTCTGAGCAGTCCTGACAGAGTGTTGATAAAGCATCACACCAGCATTAAAAATTAATGTACTCTCAAAGGCTCAGTTCTAAGCTAAATTAGAAACGATTTCTTGAAGCATTTTCCCTCAGTAAAGATTCTGTGATTAGCCACTTGAGAGACAGAGTTGTTCAAAAGTATTTTATATTATTAGCTTTTCTGGAGGTCACCCTTTTATCATGGCAATAGTGTGCTTCACTATGTGCTTCTCATTCAAGAAATGAGCAATACTAGTTTTGTTTACATCCAAAACTTAATCACTTCATGCACAGAGGAGCAATGGAAGACTTCAAACTAACATATGAAAATCTGAGAAAGCCCTAAAAACTGAATGTGGATACTCAGGATATAAATATCTGAGTTATTTTTTACTGTGTATTCCATTAGTACTCCAGATAGCCTAAAAATGATCATACTCCAGACAAAACACAAAACCAGAGGTGTGTTTATCAATTTGAGCACAGTGTCTAGCCATGCCACACCTAAGTACAAGAGAACGGAGAAAAGGAAAAAATGAGATAATAGGAATGGAAAACCTGACAAGTCCATACGATGGATAAATCTTCTTTTCTCTCCTCCCTAAGGGAGAACAGCTGTGAGCAGAATGAGTTGCCCAATTCACCCCAGCCTCCAGACAACATGCTGACATTTGGCAGTTTGACTGTGCCCTCTGCTGTTAACAGGAGCACAGGAAGGACTTACATGTCTTGAAAAGGGTTTCTAGGCCAACCAAACTGGATTTGAGTTTGGAATCAAGCATTTCTTCAAACTTCTCGAAGCACACTGGCAGCTGTAAAAACAAAGGTAAATGGGGAAATTCAAACATTGCCTTTTCTTTGTTTGCAAAATCACATCCCCAGATGCCACAGAACAATGACTGCAACTCACGAAATGAAACAGCCTGAAAATGGTTGTTTATCTGTCACTTGAAACAATTTGTGCAGCTGTTGGTTGCAACCCCAAGGAAGATCTGGGATGGCTCAAAAGGCTCATGAAATCCGAACATATTTCAAAAAAGAGATACTGATCTGTAAAATAGGGTTAATAATAACTAATAAAATGAATTTTAGAAGTGTTGGGTCAGAGACCTTCACCTTCAGACCACAATGACTAATCCTGAGAGTAGACTGCTTTCTTCAGGCAGAAGAGAAAAAGAACTGATATTTGCAGGCTGCCACTACAGCTTGTTTTGCTCTAGAGACCCAGAGAAATTCCACTACTGGCTCTGAGGCAAGTCCCTAAAGACCTTGACCCTAAGGACACAAAGGCAATGGTATATGCAAAAAAAACCCTTACAGTTGTTGGTTTAAAGTATTTGAGTGCTTAAGACACAGAATGTAATATTTTAGATATCAGCATAGCAAAGGAGAGAAAGTGAATACTGAATAGTCTGTAGTATTTCTAACTCTTCATTATTTTACATTCTGAATTTGAAGTAACTTACCTCTTGAAGCTTGTCTTTGATGCTGGAAATAAAGGTGCTTAGGACTTCACTAAAATGGAAAAAAACCAACAAGTATGAAACAGAAATGTAAATTACTGAAGTGTACAAAAATTGAAAAGATCACTGTAAAAATGAGACATGAAACACTGCAAGGCATAATGTAGAATGAAATGTTAGCACAGAAACATGATTACTTCAGGGGGCATAACCCTTTGAAGTCACCTCAGTTGTTTCAGGAAAACATGGACTCTGCAATGTAAAGTAAGAAAAAAATACATATTCACACATGCTCCTATATATCAAATACATGAAGTTATGGGGTTTTTACTTTCAGATTTTTGGCTGTCTGTCAGATTTTTAGCTGGCATTTGCCCAGCTGTCCATTAGCTGCTGGGGTGTGAGCGCTGCGTTATAGGCTCCGGAAGGACCCAGCCTGTGACGTGCCAGTTGCTGCGATACACGGCTATTGTGCTTGGACTAAAATAACTGTGGGAAAAACACAGGAAAAGCTTCAGCATCAACAAAGCCCAGGCCAGGAAGAACAAATACTGCAGATCTTTTTCTCCTGAGATTATGCCTGCGGTTTCTGTTATCTGCCCTTTTAAGTTGAGCCAGCGTATCAGGAACCAGGCTATACTCGTGATTAACTTGCCACACCAAAATGCACGGACGGTTGCTAAGCAAAGTGATAACCTTTTCCTCTCTGAAGATTTGGGTCATTTGAAGTCAATCATTTGAGTGATCTAAATTACAACAGCCAAAAATATGCAGAGGCCAGGTAGAATCTAGTTATAAGAAATCTCTCTAGCCTTGTGGAAAGGAAGATACTAATTTTCTTAGTCAAACTTGAGGGGGATATAAATTGATAAATTATATGCTTATCTTTGAAAAGATAATATAGTTATTTCTAAAAACAGGCTTCTAATCTGGGAGCAAGTCTGGAGTGTAGGAAGAAGCATAATTCATTTAAAGAAAAAATAAGGAATAATTATGAGTGATGCCTAAACATTTAAAAATACTTTGTCATTTCATTACAAAAATCTTCTTCTAATAGGCAATTGAGAATAAAATTTTGTCTTATCAGAAAGGCAGTGCCTATTAAAAAGGCAGGAGAGATACATAGCCAGATTTGATCAAAGGCTTTCAATAAAAACACACTTCACTTTGGATGTTACATTACAAAATGTACAGTGCTAAGAATTATTTATAGGTGCACTGGGGAGTTTGCCATATTTCATTTTTGAGCTTCAAATTGCTGGCTTGTTCCTTGAAGTCCTTCAGGACCTACAGGTACCTGTAATTCTTGACATCTGACAAAGAGTAGATGCAAATTACATTAGCAAATAACACTTGTCTGTTACCAAAAAAAACAATACATAAAAATCTTGTATGGAAATAAAATTCTAGAGATATGTGCAGGTTTATAAAGATGCAATCTGCACACAAGTGTGATTGGCAATCCCCTCATCTGGCCCAAATGTGAAGGCCACCCTCAGAGTCCCTTTTATCACTCCCCACATAGACTATAAAAGTTTGAGAGAAAAGGGTTTTCACAGAGAATCAATACAGAAAAAAGAAACAATGCTGATTAGATAAAGACAAAGGTAAATTCAGGTTAGAGTTTTGCTGTTCAGTGGGGCTTATGGCTGAATGTGTTACATAAACTGCAAATAAACACTATTCTCTTACCTTGCAACTCTTTCTAATTAGAAATTATTTAAAACCTGAAAATACTTTTCTTGGAGAAGTATGCAGATATGCCATATGTGATTTGTAAGAGGGGAAGAAGGAGCTGCAGAGAGTGAAAACCACCAGAAGAGAAAGAATTTCCAGTGGATGTCTACATACCGGTCATATTTGTCCTTTATTTTGTTCTTATTCACTTCAAAATTTTCCAAGACACTTTTTGCTCTTCCTGCACCAAAATTAAGAGAGCCTTTTTCTCTTGTTTCTTCATCAAATAACTGTGGTTTTGTCTGGTATTTGGTAAAAATACTGGGCTCACTCTGTGACACAAACAAAAGAAAACTGTTGAAGTACAAAAATAATCAGAACATTAATTAGAAGAAACCATTTGTTTATCCAGTGCAGACAGACTTCACAGTGATTGGACATGACAGATTACATTGGATGAGGAGATTAAGAATTTTGTGAGATTATGCCTCATTTAGTGTGCCTAGTTAGATCAACTCTCTGTGGAACTGAGACCCAGCCCCAATTCCTCCAGACACAGGAGTTTCTCTCATCTTGAGGGTTTTCAGTTTGCTACAATTATAAGGTGTGCTGGGTTTTTCCCCTTCTATGTTCAAGACAGGGACTATAAATGAATTTCAGTGTTCCTGAAATTGTAGAAAAGTTCAAGTTGTCAGTAGAATCTCCCTGTACAGGAATCTAAAAAAAAATCTTATTGAATTGCCTGGTGGATGACATCATTTTGCTGCCAACTAGCAACATCGACAGACTGTAGATGAGTTTTTCACATGCTTCAATACACATTTTAGAACAGAAATTTAATATTAATATGAAAGCTTCATTCTACAAAATTTCCCGACACTGTGTGATGAAAATGGCAATGCCTTTTCCTTAAAACATAAAAAAATGCAAATTTCATCAATGTTTTGCAATTGTGAAAAGTGAATTTCCTGGTTTGTGTTTGATGAAAACTGCTCCTAAGCAAAATACATAGGACAGCAGATAGCATCTGGAACTGAAGGACAGCCTGGAGCCTCCAAGCTGGCACAGCTGCTCTTCCCTAATCTTTGCTCCAGGTGTGTTTATTCTGATCTGATTCTCTCTGTTAGCTGTGCAGGAACTATTTTAATGGAGGCTGGCAACACCAGAAACCATGAGCTGTAGGAGGAATATTGTGAGCATAGAAACTCTTCACCCCTATCCAAAATCATCCAAGCATCTACCTTAACAACAGAGCAGCAAGGTCATTGTCAGTGCAGGGAAGCAAACACTGAGTAGCTCTGTCATCCTTGCAGAAAGCTAAGGAAGTGAAATACATCATTTTTGAAAGGAAAATAGATGTAATATTCTGACTTAGCTAGGTAGGTGGTCTAAAGACATTAGCTTGAGAATAATTTCATATTATTTCAGTAACTTAAAAAATGTGATTGAAGAAAATCATACCTATCTCAATAATAATTTATAGCAATCTGTTATAAATATCACACTACTCTGACCAGGCTGCTACTTTGTCTTGTCACAGTAAGGATGTGTATGTAGGAAGAAGACAACTTGATTTCAGCAGTTACTGACATTTGCAAATGTTACCACCTGATTTCAGCATTTTCCATTAATTTGCATGGTGGTTGTGTGCCTGCTCAGGGCTGAGGGAGTGAGACTCACATCCTGGGAGTTCTGCTGTCCCAGCTGCGTGCCCAGCTCCAGCGGTGCCGCTGCCGACTGCGCGTTCTCCGGGCAGAACTGGGAGCCAAAGAGCAGCTGAGAATCACTCAGGCTCGAGTAGTCACTGGCAGTGCTGCTCCTCATGGAAAACTTATTGGGCCTGAAATGGGGCAGAGAGGGAGGTGAATGAGTCTGGAGTAATTAAAAAGCCAAACAAAATTCCCTACATGGCCTGCTGGAAGTGCTACTCTGGATAACAATTTCTGCTGTAACTCAGGTGTTGCTTCAATAAATTGGAAGGCAGCTCCAAGAGAATAAACAATAAACCTTTCTGACTTATTGCTGACATTTCTTGGGCGTTTATTCTCCAGATGCCTTAAGTCTGACACAGTAGAACAACAAATAAATAGAGGTAGCATATGGCTGGATGAACTGATATGAATAGTTGGAAGTATTTCAAACATATTAACATGCTACTCAAAAGTGTTCTTCTTTCCCTTGAGCGTTACTCAAATAAATCTTTCCTAGATATCTTTGATTTTTTGCTGTGTTGCTCTGATTCTACTCCTCTTCAGAAACACTCTCATACTCCTCTCCTGCTTTATGGGCTAGGCTTGTGGCACAGGAGCAGCTTCCCTCAGACAAGGGCTTCCCTGCCCAGCTGCAAAGCTTCTCATTGTGTTGGAGCCTGACTCCGATTTTTTTGTTAGCAAAGGTGCATATAAAAGCTTTCTTTCATTTTTCACAAGGAATTGTAGAAGGGTTTGGGTTAGAAGGGACCTTAAAGATCACCTAGTTCCAACCCTCCCACCATGGGCAGGGACACCTTCCACTGCACCATGTTATTTAAAGTGCCATCCCTTCTGGCCTTGAACATTTTCAGAGATGGGGCATCTACAGCTTCTCTGGGTAACCAGTGCCAGTGCCTCATCATCCTCACAGGAAGGAATTTTTTCATAACAATCAGTCTAAATCTACTATCTTTCAGTTTAAATTATCACTATTCCATTGCTCCACATCCACAAGGTCTGGCAGAGTGTTTAGGTTAGGACCAAACACAAAAAACTGTATCAGGTTTATATTCTCAGCTCTTGCTTTTTTTGAGCTACCAAGATGGAGAGATGTGTTGCTGCCTTTGGAGCTGGGGACTAGAGACCAAAATAAATGAAAATAATTAATGAAAAATTTACACAAGATTTTTCTTCCATGTCAAATGATACAAGTAAAGGAGAAGGAATAGGATAATAACTCATGTGTATAACAAGAGATGATCACCTCAACATTTATTAGCAGTGACGTGTTTGGTTAATCCCCAGTTTTGGAAGGAGCCCAAACATCATAGACACAACAGGGAGGGGATTTAGCAGCAGCACTTGAACTGCTTGGTCTCCATTATACGCTAGTGTCACTGACAATATCATATTAATGCTTTTGGCTCTAAGCTCACTGACTACACTGAGCTGCAGGCAAAAATAGATGAGGTATGGGTTCCTGAATTCTCAAAAAGCCTGATAAGTCTGTCTGAATTCAAACCTTCTCCCTTAATCCCTCTCTGGACCCCAAATCTGCTAAGAAAAAAATCTGACTACAGTTTTACTTGCACAGTTTCTTGTTTCCATCTCAGCTAAGCTTTGTAAAAAAAAAAAAAAAAAAAAAATTTTAATCTACAGGCAGTATGTGGGGGAGATGTGAGCACATGGGCTGCCCTGACCCCACACAGGCAGAGGCCCTGCCTGCAATGTAAGCATTACATCTCCTGCACCAGTTTTATAAATCTTTCTGCTCCTGCACCAGTTTTCTAAATCCTTCTGTCTTCCAGACAAAACAGCTCCCTCTTAGTTTGAGGAAGGGTTTTTATAATCTTCAGATGCTTTGTGGTCTTGATGAACTGCCTTTGAAATTGTCCAGTACAATTGGTGAATATCACACCCCATGGTACGCTCGTTTTCTCAGATGCTTTGTGTTATTTACTACCTGAAGCACAAGATTCTTATAACAAAGATTTTATGAGGAGTATTGAGCTGACAGGACTTTATGAGCCAAGTGACTTCCTAGGCTTACCCTGCACTACAACCAAAGGCAGCTGTTGGCTGCTCTGGAGCCCAATTTTTCTGTTTTAAGTCCACTACCTCAGCAGTTGGTTTAGGAATGATGGCACTTCTGCAAATTAAAGGGCAAGGTGAAACAGATGTCTCTTTTGAATGCACTCATTCCCCTGAGCAATGCTTTCTTTATCCCTTGCTTAACACTGCTGGCAATTAATTTACTAACAAGACCATCTGGGCAAGCCATCAGCCTGGCGATGCCTGGCCCAGTCCTGGCCCTGCCAGAGAGATCAGACAACGACGATCAGATGTGGGATCAGATCCGTGATCAGGCAACTTCAGCTCTTCAAACCACCTGACCATTCCCTTCAGAATGCCAGAGATTCAGGGGTGCATGTTCTATCCTAAATATAAACCCTTTCCCATAAACAGCAAGGAAACATCCCAGGTATGCAGTTCCACTTAGCAGTCCCTCCTAAGTGAGGAGTGCAATAGTTACCTCAGGAGAACTTCTGGCTTTCTGCTAACATGAGCCATGCTCCAAATCATCTGTGTTGGTGCACATAACATTCCTTTGGTACTGGCATTAGCATATTCATCCAAAGCAAAACCAGCTTTAGATATGTAAAACAAGTTCTTGACAGCTCCAAAACATGGTAAATCATCCTCTGCTGACTGATGGTCAAATGACTGCATTTTCCAACCTAACTTAATGCAAGGTATTGCAATATTGGCAGCTCCAACCCTTTCTCGTGACATGAGCGTGATCTAAAAAATCTGCAGCGCTCTGCATATCTGGGGGGTCAGCAAGATCTTCCCAGGCTCTGTTTCCTTGTTGTCAGTGGAAATTCCCCCTTTATAGGAGGAGTTAGAACTTTCAGGAATTTCTTTCATTTTTCTAATTTTCTGATTTCCACTCCAAGTATTTAACACAATCACATGCAAACATTCACTTTTCATTCAAAGGTTCTGGCTTACCTCAAAACAAACATGGCATGCAATAAATACCCTCTTCTAAAGTTTCCTAGATATTCTAGGCACACTGACAAACTAAAGCTTCATAACTGTAAATTGCCATAGCCCTCATCAATCTTTTTTTAAGAACTGCTATTTGTATTCTGTTGTTTGGATCTGTCCTAATGTGTCAACACCAACGTTTAAGAGTCATTTGAAAAAGTAAACTGAGACTTTTACAATATGCAATGTAACATTTATCTGCAGTGCTGCTATAAACACTGATTTTCTCTGGTTCTGTCATCCCCACTGAACCTGTGCCAACATCCTTCTTCTTCTCAAGCGCTATGGGTGAAGCTCACTTACACCTTTCTGACACATTTCTTCAAAGTGCAGTAAAGCCTCTTTCCCAAAGAAATCCTTCTCTCCTAGTAGCAGTGTCTTGAGTAGGATCAGTGCCATAAAGTCTCTCTTCTCCTGGTTTCCCTCCAGAAAATCTCAGAGCCCTTTCTGCTCCTCCTCATTTAGGGGCCAGGGCTGAATCACAACAAATCCAGTATAAATTCTGGGAGCTGCCATTCACCTGCTCTCCCTCCTGCCTTTAGCCTGTATCTATAGGAACTGTCTGTAGCTCTGCTATTCTGCTCTCATCCTCACTATCAGCTGCCTGCCAATGTGCTCAGCAAATGAGCAAGGATCAGCCTTGGCTTTGGGTACAGGGGAGCTGGAGGAGTTAAAATCAAAGAGTTTTAGCTGCTCTTGCAGCCTCCAGCCATTTGCCATCTCTTCACTGGAAACAGTCACAGCAGAAAATTATTATTCTGCTTCCTGTCCTCTGGAATGGCATGACCTGCTTGCTGCAAATAACTTGCACCACATCCTAAAAGGAATTTCTACAAACACATTCTGGCACTGGCCCTAATGCATTAACCACGATGAAATCCCTCTCAGTTATTCAGCTCAAACACTCCCTCCAGTTTCCAAATTTCAGGTTCAAAATCCCTCTGGTCTTATTTTAATTTCTCAAGATCACTCCTACTTTCTATGACTTTCTTCATTATTCATTCAGCTGTGATTCAACACTGCCCAGACATCCTGACCTTGGCATCCATGTAACCCTTTGTCCTGAGCTGTTACAACAGAGCCTTTTCCTTCAGAGGAGATTGGCATTCCTGCAGAGTGGCCCTGTTTGCTCCTACAAAATTCATCCCCAACCATATTAAAAGTTAGGCATCTGGAGATAAGGGGTTTTTTTGCTACTCCCCTCTCTAGCCTGAAGCCATCTTCCAGCCTCCACTTACAGCCCTGGTTTCTCATTCCTGTGAGGCTCTGGAATTTTACAGCTGCTCTCCTGGTCTTTGTCTTGCCTGTCTTCTTCATTTTCTGCTTCTTCTTGAACCTCAATGTAACTTCAAAATATGTGACCTTGTGATTTGGGATGGAATTTCATGGATAATGGATTGAATGAGGTTTTTAAACTTGGAAGTTATTCTCAAGAGCAGAAATAAACCATACAGAGTAGTGGCCCAAGTAGGCCTTAACTTCAAGAAGCTGTTTAGAATGCCTCTTTAATATTTTCATAATTTCTTGGCCTTACACACTCTCTGGCAGGCTTTCTGCTTCTGATGTCTTTGGAAGTCAGTATATGAGTAGCTTTTATGCATTTTGCAAGTTACTTCTTTTCTCATGATACAAGAAATTTCTCATAACTTCAATTTAAAATCTATATAATCAAGTCTGAATAATCCTTCTCCCTCAGGCAACCATTTAACCCTTTGGGTTGTACAGTTTAATTTAATTTTTACTGAGTTTTATTATTACTATTCCAGTGTCTTTTTTCTTTTAATTAACAGCAGTGGATTTTTTGGCTTCTGCTGCTCCTGCAGAGATACTGACTCCAGTTCCCTACTGCCACTCTCATGGTAGCACTACAAGAGCAAATGGCCTGAACAGGGATCTTGTGCTCAGTTCAGGGCCAAGGCAAGATGTGTGCCTTCCCCTGAGAGCCCCTGGCCAAGGCTGATGGTGTTGATGGTGCCTGAAAATGTACTTTCAGCATCACACCCCTGTGATGCTTATCCAGTCAGTCAAAGGCTGATTGAAGCATCAGTGCTTTTGTGGCTGCTGTTCTCTCATCCTCTGTGATCTCCCTCTGCCAGCCCTCCAGGCTGGGCAGGCAGCAGCACTGCTCAATGTGGCACTTTCTCTAATGAAGGCTGGCATTTCAATCCATAAAAACTGTGTCCTCTGTCAATACACTCAAATTGAGCCTAAGCTCTCCCAGTATAGCTGTCATGTGTCCCCCTTCCACCCTCTAAAATAACTGGCACCCTGATACTATTGTCCAACCTGATCTTATTCCCTCTGCTCCATTTCTCAATTCCCTGTTATGTCAATATTCATACATAAAACCAGCTGGAGCAGAGGTTCTGGTTCCCCACACCCTATTTCTCAGGCTGTTAGGGTTGCAGAGAAGCACTTGTGTGTCTGACAGATAACAAATAAAACCCAGAGCACTTTGGGGCTTGTGCAGAGCTGTGTCTGTGAGGGCAATGCATCACTGGAGCTCTGCATTTCCTGGGGACCTGGTGGCAGCTGCTCTCAGAAGTAACACCCTGACTCAAACTTGCAAAGAACTCACAGAGTGAGTCATGCTCTGCCTAGATTATACGCTGATTTTATGTTTCATTTTTAAAGCTCCCTGACAGAGTTTTCTGGGGATTAAACAGCATACCCTGCTGTGGTGGGAAAGGTTTCTAGTAATAGAAGTCAGCCAGGGAAAAGTAATCAACACTTCTGCCCCCTTTTTAAATACACACACACATTCACATGTTCCTGTGGGAAACTTTTCTTTCCTTTAGAAAAAGTTAATTGTCCACAGAAAATTTTCTCCCCCTTCTTACCTCCTCTAAAAACCCAGCTGCATTTCCAGTAACATTCTATGCCCTATTTGACCCTTTTGAACTCACTTGTAAAAAATGTGGAAAATGCTGAGGAGTGGGTGTTAAAATCTTGCCTATATTTTCTTCCTGCATTGATAAATGAGTTAAAAGGGAAGATGTTGTAGGTGATAGGCTACTTTGGAGGAAGAAATTCAAGTGATCCCTTTCCAAATAGGCATCTGTACTTCTTCCACTCATTTCCTTCCATATGGCACAACTACACAGAATTATTTATATATTTTAAAAATAGATCTTATATATCATGTATACAATATAAAAATGCAATTATATATTTTATATATGTTATGTCTTTTAAATATATTCTCTAAACTTCCCCTCCTCAGTCTCTGACTTGAAAAAAAGTCACAGGTTTTCAAACTTAGAAAGAACTTATTGAAAACTAACAAACCTCCCATAAAACAAACAAAATTAATCTGCAGGTACCAAGAAGACAATAGAGTTAAGCAATGCACAATAATAAAGACAAAACTGTGAGAGATAGAAATAAATTTTCCCCTGAATGGGCTCCCCTTTGCCCCCTGCATCTGTGCAAAATTCAGTTAATTAATATCTATATGACAAGTATTTCTATAATGGGCAAGAAAATGACTATTATGTTTTCATTATCATCCATCATTTTGGTAACATCTGGCCAAAGAGACAGTATGACTAAAACTGTGAATTTGAACAAGTTAGTTATGTAAGTGGGTTAGTTAACTAACAGAGGGCCAGAGTACCAAATTAATCAATTAGCTTTTCTGGAGTCAAAAAGGGGATGAGTACCACTGCCTTTTTTAGCCATGTGATACAAAGGATGCTCTGAAGTACAAATTGCAGCTTGTCTTACATATTTGCCCTCCAGATGTTTATATCTGAATATTTGTTGTTTCACTGTAGACTGGAGATGTGCAGAGCTCTAGCTGCTCTTTGGCTTCTGCTGGGGAGAAAACAAGCCATGTGTATAAATGCAGGATATGGAATAATTTTTGAGTTACATAATGTGCAATAATGCTGCACATCACGATTCGTTCTATCTGCCCTCTGCACAGGCAAGAGGAACACTTGACTTATCTAATGAGATGAGCATGGCTCACAGGGCTTCTCCAAATACACCCTGAATGGACAAGGGTCCAGCTTCCAGCCAATGCTGATTTTTAGAATCCCACCAATGGTGGGTCTATGGCAGTGCTGGCAGGCTGGGGACATAAACAGGATCCCAGGGCAGGCTAATGAATTTCCATTAGACATTCCTAATTAGCCACAGATCAGTTCTGGACATGTTTAACCTCACCTGTCATCACCCCTGCCAAGTGTTTTGTTTTACATCCCATCCCTTCTCCATCTCCCCCCACCCACACTCACCCGAGGGCTGTCGGTGTGCTCAGCATCTCCTTGATGTTCCAGATGTTGAAGTTCATGTTGTTCTCAGGGCTGACAGCCTGGCAGGCAGCCCCCAAACAGCACCACGGCCCTCACGGCCTCTCCCCACCAGCAGCGGCCATGGTGCCACAGTGCCTGGCAGGGAGGAGGGAGATAGAAGATGGCCAGCCCCACTCAGGGCAGCATCACCTGTGTCCTGTGGCTGTGGGGACAGCCCAGGGGACACAGCCCTGCAGGCCCAGGGCAGGCCTGGCCTGAGGCCCTCCACAGGCCTGGGATGCAGCCAAGCACTGGGCCTGCCCACCTGTGGGGCCTGAGGGGCCCTGGGGCAGTGTCTGGGTCGCACCCCAGGGCTGGGGTCCCTGGGTCTCACCCCAGGGCTGGGGGGCCCTGGGGGCAATCCAGGCCTGAGGGTCCTCGGGGTCACCCCAAACTCAGAGTTCCTGAATCACACTCTGAGGCTGGAGAGGCCTGAGGGTCCTATGGCAGTCTCAGGGTCTCATCCCAGGGCGAAAGGTCACTGGGATAATTTCGGGACTGAAGGTCCCTGGATTTCACCTCAAGGCTGGAAGCCTCTGGGCCTCACCCTGAGGCTTGAGATGCCTCAGGGTCCTCTGGGGGTCTGTGGGGTGACCCTGGAACTGAGTGTCCCTGGCTGCTTCCCTGGAGGTGAGGGTCCCTGTGGTCACCTCAGGGCTGAGGGTCCCTGGATCTCACCCTGTGGCCATGGACCCAGGATCAGCCCCAGCTCCAGTCGCTCTGCCTGCCAGCCTTTGTTCCTCACCTGGAAGCACAGCCCCAGGCACAGGGGGTCATCACAGGACACTGGGAGGATGAGAAAGCCGAAAGCTTGGAACCTGGCACACTGAGAGCTGCTCCCATGTAAGCATGGCAGCCACAGCACCCATTTCCTTTATTTCCAGAGCTGTGTGGTTTCTTATGTAAATACCTCTGGCAGAAATGCAGAAGGATTTAATTTCATCCATCAGAAATATGACAAAAATAACCACCATCTAAACATTCCCCAAAGAAACATTCTCAAATATGGTTTTACTGGATTTTTTTTTGCCTTGTGGTTCCATAACACCCATGTTTAGGAATGCAGAACAGGCATGCTTGCTTGCCTATTTTTTCCTCCTTTAATTCAAAACTATTTCAATACTAGTTAAAATGTTTGTCTCCTGGCTCTGAAGATACTCCATAAGCACTAAACCACTGGAGGAATAAGGTTGACATAAATTCATGGATAGATCAGGGGAATTACTTACATTCCCCTTTATTCTCTTCTGCCTTTAGTATTAAAGGCAGCCCAGAGCTCAGGGGTGTCAAAATAATGGCTTTCTTGATTTATCTATCTGGTTTCCTAATCAAATCCCATGTAGATAAAGCTTTCACTTTAGATAAAAAAATAAAATTCTGGTCTTTTACCCATAAAAAAACTTATTGGAGCAATTTCACTGCATTGCTTTACTTGACATTACAGCACTGGGGTTGGTTTAAATAGCTTGGATCAATCAAGGCAGCTTGATATGTCCCAGCTCAATGAGGAGACTCTGATGTGTTGATTTTCCAGGACCAGAGTAGGGAGTTGCAGCTTGGGCCGTGTTCTTACCTCAGGGATGGGATAGTGGCTGGGCTGTCCAAGGCAGGCATGGGCTGGAAAGCAAACCTTCCTCCAGAGTGCCAAGCCGATGGAAACGTTAATGTTTATTGCGATTTTTAAGTAAATAAAAGCCTTGTTTTGCTCCTGAACGGCCTGCAGCTCTGTTGTACAGGCAAGTACTTGGCACTGCTGCCAAGAGCCTTGCTGTGCATCCAGGCCCTATATGGTCCTGCATCATAAACAGTGATTTTCCAGCATTTTATTGCTCACGATTGAAAAGTTGGCCCAGATCTCCCTCAGAAGAGACTGTAGAGTCCTGTACCCATTTGCAGTGCTTCCACTGCCATTAGAAAAGGAATTGCTGGTGCTGTGCACACTGGTGATAAGGCTCAACATGTTATTTTAGGTACTTAGAAAGAGCTGTTCCTATTTCTGATGTGGCTGGAGCCTTCTGGTATGAACGTCTAGCAAGTTTGTGGAATAAGATAAATGAGATTTTTGTATTTCCATCTCTCCTGACAACGGAAAGAAATTTCAATATGGAAACACATTTTTTTTAATTATAGGTCTGACAGCTACCTCCATTTCCATCTCCCCCGTCCATAACACACTCTGGGGAGATGAACCACGTTGCCAGGCACTAGCTCATAGCTCTCCTTATATCTGAAACAGTCTGTGCTTCTAGCATTAGGGAGGGTAGCCAGATACCTTGTAGTCTTTCCTTTAGTAAAAATTAGCAGAAACTTCCAGGAGATAGACAGCAATATACTTGGTACATTCCTCAACTTTTTTGACTTCACAGCACATTTCATTAGAAATTCACATGAGTTCCTCAGTTAATAACATGTCAGTCTGCAAAAGTGGCCAGGACCCTCATCTCTCCATTCCTGAGATGTCCTTGAACATTTTCCTGGTAACTTTTCTCTCCTCATTCAAATGGGATTCTGATCTTGTGCTCAAAAGCAGAGATAGAAAAGACTGACAATTCCACACGTAATGAGAGGTCACAGATTCCTGTTGAACTCGGGTGGAGGAACCAAGACAAAAGGCACTGCAGTGGGTCAATGTGCCAGGAGAGTGTGTGCAGGAGGCAAAGTGCTGCTGACAGAGGGGCAAACGCCTGTGGGGCAGGGATCATCAGCCTCACTGCTGGAAACACCACACAGGGAAGCACTCCTGAGCTCCAGCTTCCCCCTCCAGCATCCTCTGGCTCTTGCAGCTGCCACTGCCTTGAATTTGGAAAAGTAGCCTTGGGCACCCCATCAGCAGCAGGGAGCTTGTGAAGTTGGCACATAGGGATGTCAATTTGCCAGTGACTCAGCATCTTGATTTATCCCCCTCATGCAACGCTCCTGCGGGAAAAGCTTATTAATCAGGCTTGTGTCTCCAACGCAGCTCCATGATTTAGGGTCCCCCATGACTAAAGGTTTAGCGGGATTGGAATTATTACATGCCTTGGTGGATTCTGGAAAGAGCTGTGAGGGAGGGGAGACATACAAAAGTGGCAGCAAGTGGTCTATCCCCTTCCAGGACCCTGAGAAGGACAAGGCCACCAGGGTTTGAGCACAGACAAGGGAGTGCTGTGAAATACTCATAGAAGGCTGGAGCACACTGCACTCAGAAGAGGTGTCCCTCTGTCCAGCCCCCAGTCACAGCACAAACCACTGACCTCCTCCCCACCTGCCAGTGCATCTTCCCAGCTCTAATTTGGGGCTCAGTGTTGATGCTGGCTCTGGCACAACTGTGGTTTCTATGGCAACTCCAGAGGCAGATGCAGGGATGCTTCCAGCTGAGGTACCACCAGCTTAGGTATCCCAAGTTGTTCCTCCCAAATCACAGGCAGTCATGCAGTGCATCAGGACAGATCCTGCAGTCACTGTGCCAGGTGGGCACCAGAGGCAATGGAGCAGCAACATGAAAATGTCTTCTGAATGCTCTTTTATGGATAATTTCCAATTTTTCCCATGCTGTGATGCCCCCAAGACATGGCACAGCCTGCCCCAGCAGTGTGTTGGATGCTGCCTCACTCTGATGGGATTCAGTCTCCTGTCTCTACAGCCTTGCAGCCCACCCGAGGCTCAAACTGGCTGTCTTCTCTGAAAGGTCAGGCATCTGTACTTAATATTTACACAGACTTGTGAGATCTTTCTAGTGTACCAATGAAGGACCAAATCCCTCACCTGCTTTCTGCTTTGGGTGTGAGACTCTGTGTGGAGCCAAGAGCAGCAAGGCTCAGGTGAGCCCATAGCACTGGGTAACTCAAGTGTCACCTCCCTTGATCTCACAGTGCACCCCTAAACATCACCCACAGACACCACCAGTTTGGAGCGTACATTCCCTTCCTGTAAGCATTACATTTCAGCAAGCAGGGTTGCAGTGCTCCTGCCTACAGAAGCTGGACAATGTTGGGCTCAGCTCTCTCCCACACCAGCCATGGTTCACCCTTTGAGTTGGGGCCGTGGTGCTGGATGGGGCCCATGAGCCCTGACATTAGGCATCTCTTCTTTCTTCTCAGCATCCTGGCAGCCCTCAACATTCCCTGCCTCTCTCACACCCTGGGTACCTTCAAAAAAGTCCTTCCTCTGCTGCTGCCTTCATCCCCCCACAGCCTCTTCACCCACAGGAGGCCAAGCAGGAAAAAGGCTGTATCAAGGCAGGACAGCCACTGCTTAGCTCCCCTCTGCATCTCTACATCACATTGCTCTGTTCATCCAGGAGGTGGGGAGAACAAGACTTACCCTTGCTCCACCGTGTGGGGGTCACTGAACTCTGCCTTGGGAGGGATTTTCCTGACAGGCTGCAGCATGTGTCTGCCCGGAGTAGGATAACCAGAGACGACATGACTCCAGTGGGATAAAACTCCACATGTTTCATTTATTTGAGGTGCTACATCACCTCCCAGGCACTGAGCTACAGGGCACCTCTGTGCTACATGAGACATCGACTGGGTCTACGACGACACAGCACTCACTGCTACACACACGGCACAGATACGCCGTGGCACAGATGGGGCCGGACAGGGCAGTGAGGCCAGCGGCAGTCCTGCCACCGCTGCTCCCCCCACGCTGCTGGCGATGGCCATCCCACCAGGCAGGAGTTTGCCCTGGGCTTCATTGCCACAGCGCTGCAGGAGCTGGGAGTTCCCACAGCTCCAGCTGCTCTGGTGCCTGGCATCATGGGACAGAGGCTTCCTGGAGCCAGGTCACCCTGGGTGAACACATGGGCGCTCACACACCCTGTCCCCGTCTTCAGGCACTTGGTGCTTGGCCAGGGCTGGTCCCCGGGGTCCCACTCAGGGCACATCACGCAGGCACAGAGCCTCAACAGCGCCACTGGGACCCTGGGCCACACCGCCGATGATGAAGAGCAGGCTGGGTGCTGGGCAGCTGGAGCAGGAGCAGCGGCCAGTGGGCATGGGGGGCAGCGGCTCCCACT